GGGCGCCTTTATCTTCACTGCTAGCTGACCTGACTGCTGCCGACTGGTTTCTTCGCCTTCACGGCTATCCGACTTCATCACCTTTAATTGGTGTCACTGTTTTTTACAACCATTGACATCTTCCGTCACCTCTGATGAGCAATATCATCTTCATGTTGGTCATTTCATCTCCATGCCAACTGCGTCAACTACCATCAATGAACAATTGTGACTACAACAGAAGGATAAGCTACATGCATAGGGGCTCATCAACTCAAGCGCGAGGATTATATCTTCAATTTGGAATTATTCTGGATACATTCAACATGAATTTATGGTCATGAGTCGATTTCTTATGCTCAACGACTGGACTATTCATTATTCCCCACAAGGGCCATCGGCTGACTATTTGCGCCAGTTGGGATTCTATTATCACATCTACTTTGATATTCTCCATGAGGGATAATTACTTGTATCAAAAGCTATTCAGATGAGATATGCTCTACATCACCTAGGATATTTATCACTTGTGATCATATTAATTGGAGTGTTCTACACGTCATATTTTAAGGGTATTAGTAGACATACTTTAGGTCTAGGCCTAATATGTCTGCAGCCCATATTTTCAGGTATGGCCTATCATGTTTTTTTAGGGACTTAGGCATCTTTTTGCTTACGCAAAAATGCGCGTGATCAAGTGTCCAATACCTTAAAATCCTTTTATACCGCAGTTACTCAACTTTTTTGGAGTTGGTACAATGCATTTTAAAATGTGCCTAGCAGTGTAGTTTTTTCATAGCTGTCCTACTGACTTTTTTATACAGTCAAGATGCTGTTTGGGTTTATAAAGCAATTGATTGGATACAATGTCATTGCTTTTTGCCACGTAAGTGTGCATTTTTATTGACCAATATTATGGCTTAGGCTGATTATATATTGTGGTCATTTTCTAGGCGGTTGGTAAATCCTTTATGAGTTTATTTACTCGGATGTTACACCATATATGCCATATATTTCCAGGTGTGGTGAAACCATGTGTCTTTTAGGGACTTAAGTACATCTGTTAAAGCAGTGTGTGCATGGTGTGTGCCCAATACTTTGGAAATTTCTTTATTCACTGCATACAAGCTTCTTTATAACTGTTTTGCTATGTGAATTTTCAAAGATGTTGTCAATTCTAGGTTGCACGCATCATATTTTACAAAGCAGTCGGTATATCACTTGGATCGTGTTATTCGGGGATTCACACCGCATATGCTATATATTAAGATCAAGTCACTTGGTTGACTATAATTATCAAAAGCTACTCAGTTGGTTGGATTATTTACTCCATGACTATATGTTTAGTTTGCTCAACTAACCACATAGTCGGGGGCTAAACCTATTAGGTGCATCGATGCACCTAAGTTTACATTAGGTTATTTTTCAGCTCTCCACAGTCTTCAGATTTGGTAAAAGTACTCGGGAGACCATGGCGAAGATGATTGAAGCACTCGGCTTTGGAGTAATCTAGTTCGAGAAAAGATTATCTTTTCGACTGTGAAGGTCTCAAGGGCTACTGTGGAAATTATGGGTACCCCATACCCACACAGCATGTTTATCCGACTAGTTATAGGGGATAACTTATATATATGGAATATGTAATAGATCATGATTTGGATATTACGTTTCCTTGTATATTATGGAACGGCCTAAAGTCCTGGTTTGGTAATATTATAAAATAGATTTAGGAAACCGATACCGTGTTGGTTAATGTTTCTATCTTATAATCCTGCCCTCATCTTATATAAGGTGGGCAGGAGGCCTTCTAGGGGCATGGACACATAAAATCATCAGATCTATACTACACCCGGTGGATTCAAATCTCCAAACAGGAGTAGAGTATTACCTCTCATTAAGAGGGCCTGAACCTGTCTAAATCTTCGAGAAGAAGAAAAAGGAGGCGGGACGAGAGTGGCAGGGGGGAGGACAGGAGCGGCAGGGGCCGCCATTAATGGCGATGTGGCGCTTGTCCTCTCGTCCTTCTGTGGCCGGGAGGGGCGCGGTTTCTGCCGCTAGCCTGCTGGGCCAGCCCGCGCCGCAAAGCCCACCAGCTATGTCCGCGAGCCCACATAGATGAAAACAGGTTGATGTCGCGGACAAAATGAGCCCAGCGGCACCGCCAACCCGTCCGCAAGAAGTCCACCAACCTCTCATCCGCTAGATCGCCAACCCTAGCCGGCGCCATCGCCCCTGCCCTCGATTATTCCCCCCTTCTCTCGCCTCGCTCCGAGCAGGCGTATGCGTCCTGACCAAGGTGTTCGACGTGTTGCCGCAGGCCGGTGGTGGACTGGGCGAAGGCGGCCGGCGTGGGGCAATTCGTCAGCAGCGCCGGCATCTACACGCCCAGCGACGAGCCGCCGCACATCGAGGGGGTAAGAAAAGAAACTAATTACAGCACAAAATGCAGAGTCTGTCGATCGCCGGATGATTGGCTCGATGAGTTGACTGACTGGCTGACTGACTCCGGCCATGTCGGCTCGCCGGCGGCGGCGGCGGTGGCGACATGCAATGCAGGACGCGGTGAAGGAGAACGCCGGGCATGTCAGCGTGGAGAAGTACATCGCGGAGCAGTTCGGCAGCTGGGCGTCGTTCCGGCCGCAGTACATGATCGGCTCCGGCAACAACAAGGACTGCGAGGAGTGGTTCTTCGACAGTAAAATCACCCAAATCCCGCCAACCAAATTCTCCCAAATTCCATACCCTCACACCAAAATATTTTCAAATTCAATACAAACTGGAAGAGTTTTTAAACGAGATTTTGGTCGCGAGTTGCGGTGCTTGCATGTGCATGTAGATTTGACATTGTCTAGGCTCATTTGTTAAGCCCCAATTGACTTAGTTGATTGAGCTTTTTTTTCTCTCTTTTTTATGATGGTGTGCTCTTCTTGATGGCCTTTTTAATGTACTGGTACTGTAATCGGGCAGTAAGCCATGTTGTCTTCCTGTGCTCTTTTGAGAGAACAAAATGGGCATAAAGCCCATATATGTCATAACAAAACTAGGCTTGCTGTTTTCTTTTTAAGAAAACAAAATGGGTTCATGTATTCAATGATCTTCTGTATGCTGTTTAGCAGCAATTTGTGTTTGCGGTTTGTTTGCGGGTTGTGGTCTGGCCGCAAATAGCCCAGCGGACATGATGTGGGTTGGTGGGTTGCCACAATACATCTTGCGGATGCTGCGGACAGGTTGCGGGTGCCCGCAACCCGCCCCACCTGCACCCTTACCCGGTGCAAAGCGGCGCACGGCTCGGCTCGGCCTGTTGGCGTGGAGCAACGCGGCGCACAGCGCGGAGCATGGGAGGAGGTTGGTGTGGTGCAGCGGACGGGATTGGCATGGGGTGCGACACAGCTGGGGCATGGGGCGGCTCGGTGGAGGTGGGAGGTAGGTTTGGGCCTTGGTAAGGGAGGGGAGGGGTATAAAATAGTTATTTTGTAGGGGAACACAATAGTTTTGCTATATATATATGTCTATCTATTATAAAAATTGAAAATGTTTCGGTAGGACAAGTTGGCATTGGCGCCTCGCCTAATCGCTCATGCTCTTGCAATATTGGAATTGGATGGGACCGACGTCTTTGATGAGGACACATCGTCATCGCTTCGTGTTTCCGTCCGGCCTCGCTCCTGTGCATGTGTGTGGCATCCGCGTCACTGATCGACTCCCTTCCAGTTTTTTTTACATTAGGATCCTTTTAGAACACTTATTTTATAAATAGATCCCTCAAAAAACTTATTCCAGGTATGGACCTTTTCACGACGCCAACGTCATTGGCGTCGTGTTACTACGGCAAGGCGCCAATGAAGTTGGCTTCCGTAACCCTTGCCACTGTGATTGCGAAAATCGCAAATGCTAAGAACTATGACGCCATCATCATTGACGTCGAGGACCTATTTGTAAAAATTTTAGTTACAAATAGGTAGGTCCTCTGAGGACCTATTTGTAAAATATTTTTTTATGGATAGGTCCTCCGAGGACTTATCTATAAATATTATATTTGCATATAGGTCATCGACGCCAATGACGTTGGCACAGTGGTACTTAACATTTGTGATTTTTCGTGACCATGATGGCATGGGTTACGGCGCCAACGACGTTGACGTCATGAAAATGTCTATTTCCGGAATAAGTTTTTTGAGAGGTCTATTTGTAAAATAAATTTTCAAAAAGAATTATAATGTGAAAAAAGGTGGACTCCCTTTCCTTTGCGCGCATTTTTTTTTTGTCAGGAAACAGCAGGAGAGGCTCCTACTATGGTAATATATTAAATAAGGGAAAGATATATACAGAGAAAAAGGAAGAAAGAAAAAAGAAAATATGTTACAGGGTTATTGCCCTTTGTGCCCATGGAAGACGTGTGACCCTGCGTGTGCAGCGTGAGCTGGGGTGGAGCTGGACTTGGTCTCGGCAGCGGATCAGCGAAGACGCTAGCTGCTCTATCGGCCTCCTGGACCAGGTGCACGGTGCGCCGAGCTGCGAAGGAGACGATAGGTGAAAGAAATAAAAAAGGGAGAAGAAAGAGGGGGTGAAAGGGAAATAGAAAAAGGGAGAAATGAATAGAGAAAATGCAGGGAACTTTCTGCAAAGATACGAAGTTTGAGCCATTTTTAATTCCGGATTCGAAAGGAACTCTATACCTCCGTCCGTACAATACAGGAGGAAAATGGCCCTGATCAGCATCAGGGCAAGTACTATAATACTCCATATGTTGCCTCTAAGAGTGTCACATTGGATTGAGTGACAAGGTGGAGGAGAGAAGTGAGTAAGAGATGATAAGCTACCCCTAAATCAAGAGACAACCTCCACACAACTTTCAAGAAGGATGTGAGAGTAGTAGAGATATTGGTTTTTGTGTATTAGAGGTGACATATTGTATGGGTTGCCTCTTAGTTTATAAGTAATAATATGGATAAATTTAGAGGTGATAGTCACATCTACCATAACACTTGCCCTCAGTGGCCCATGGATAAGGGCATAACACTTGCCCTTAGTGGCCCCATGGATAAGGGGAGAGTCGGAGAGATACAAGTCTCGGGTCGTTGCTTCTCGGCGTAGTGGGCACCGATCGATCTCGTCTCCTCCCGAGGCGGCGTGGGCGTGGCGATCGAGGCGAGCCGTTGCATCCGCCCTCACCGGTGAGCATCCGTTACTCAGCCGCAAACTATTTCTCCAAAGTGACGATCTTTTTCTTTTTTCTTCTGGAATTTGCATAACCCTAGCTAGGTTCTCTTAAAGTTCTGGCTTAATTTGCTTAATAACCAATCTTATAAGTGAGGGAGGGGGACTAATAACAGTTTTTTTTGTTCTAAAAAAAGTTAAATTTCTGTTATGTCAGGTTAGATCCGTCCTCGCTAACCCAACGCCGACGAGAAGTTTGCAGTGCTCTAGTATGTGAAACGGATCGATTTCCATTTGAGCAGCAGCAACTGCTGCTGCTTTGTTTTGGTTGATATGGGCATGGACATGCTTGTCTCGGCAGCATTGGAGGAGGTGTGCGCCCGCCTTTCGCTTGGTCTCCCAGTAACTGAGATGTGGACAGCACTCTCCAGCGTGTTCAACATGGCCGGCCTCCCAATGGACCTGGCCGTCAAGCGTGTCCTCTTTGCCCGTCTCATTGCACTCCCTGTCATCAGCCTCGTGGTTGAGGGGGTGCTCGCCCACCCGCCACGGATGGACATGGAGGAGGCTGAGCGATATGGCGCACGACTGCTTGCGAGCCGTCCTCTCAGGGACAACTTCCTTGGGATTTATGACCACAGGTGCTCTGCTTCCAAGCTGAGTGACATCCAGAGGAAGACGTTAGAATTGATCGGGGCAAGCAGGTGCGCTCTCTTGTTTAGCATAATTTGAGCAAATCATAATGATTCCTAGTACGTCTTATTTGTTTTTTACTTCCTACTGTTGCATATTATTGTTGTTGAGTTCCTAGGATGATGTCTTTCTGCAACCAGTACATAGGAATTTCGGATAGCCGGTATGGACATTTAACTCAAAATATGGTGCTGCAATGTAATCCGATGTCAACATAATTAACAATGATTAATTTCTAATGTCTTAAAATATTCTCATGTTGATTTTGTCTACTATTCTTCTTATAAGCACATTGAAGTTCCTAGAAGCTAGAACCTCAACTGTTGGAAATCAAAATTGTATAAGTAGTGATGAGTTTGATAAGAAAAAAAAAGCAAAACGAGGACTTCGATAAGAAAAATGCTCAGTGCAGTGCTAATCGCTGATACAGAATGCCCTGGCTGAGGGACTCCCACACCATTTTTTTTTTTTTGGCATCAGACGCCCACAATAGTTCACTGTCTGCCTGATCAAAGTGCTACACCATCAGTTTGCCGCACATTTTGGTTGTTAGGTATGCATTCATCTAAATTTCCTTAAGCCACGTGTGCTCGCTGCCAGACTCCTAGTACAGCTCACTTGCTTACATACCATCTCACCCTCCCACTGCTTGCTGCCACCAGTCTATCACCATGTCAGTAACTAAGCCCTCTAAATAAGCATAGTGTAGTTAGTTCTAAGCTGGGAAGATCTGCCAAGCTATCCCAAAGATCATCAGGAACATCTGTGTTGCTGCAACTGGACTTGGTACTCCCATCAAGGTCCATGATACATGTTTGGAGCCCATAAAATCCAATCTCCTCAAGCATCCTTTTGTCCATCTGCATGCACAGGTGAAAAAAACGTCCCTACTGGTTGTCATGATGGTAAATTTTCATGCCAGCTAGAGCTTAGAAGTGAAATAAAATTACCGCTTTAAGAAAAGTATTCCAGGTACTAGTATATACTGAAACAAAGAATACACACAGGTGATGATGCTTATCCTTTGTCTAGATTCTTGAAATTGACTGGGGTGGTATGTTATCTCATTGCATGTGCCTTTTCTAGTTATTCTAATAGAACTAAAACGACAACAGTAGTAGTCCATTGCACATGGAGATTCATGGCAAAACATATTTAGCAACCTGCTAGCTAGTTGCTGCCAAGGTAAAAAGTGATCTTGATGTTTCAGGTCCTCATTGGCTTAGGAAGCTTCAAGTTCATTTCTTAAGTTTAACCATGCATATCTATGGGAATGTGGCGCGCTAAAGTGTGGACTTATTTACACCCTATGTATTTTTGTGAACATCAGCATGCATTCCAGTTTTCTGCTCATTAGCATAATTAACTTTTTCGAAGGAATATTTGTTATCCTTTCTTGGTTGGCCGTATGTGCTTCATTCCAAAATACGTGTATAGGAAAGAAGTATAATGCCTTTGATATTCCTTTTTTCAACAATAATGCCTTTGTTTGATAATAATGTGCGTAACTTCTTATATTTGTCATAGGACTTCTGGTCTCACACAACGCAGTCTAAGCAAAGAGGCCGAGATAAAAGGAAACAACTTCCATTATGTTGTGAAGACACTTAAGTCGCAAGGGTTAATTGTTGGAAAACAAGCAATTGCAAAGATTAATACCCAAGCTAAAAGGAAAGCTGTTTCACAGGATAAACATGTCATCAGCACAAACTCATTATATCTCTCAAGATATGCGAAAAACTTGAATATGAACTCATACCAAAGAATTGAGATTACAAAGCCCAAACTTGAGTGCAATGAAGAAACTAACATAGATGCCTTACAAGAAGATGAGACTCTTAGTGTTGATTACAAGAACGATGTGTCCATTCATGATTATCTTCCAGCAATGAAAGCCATATGCGACAAACTTGAAGAAGCTAGTGGAAAGGTCAACCGTTCTCTTCCTTTTGTTTGTGCGTTGCTTTTCATTTTTCACTGTGCTAACTTTGTGCAACTATTTTCTCTATATGTAGGTTCTTGCTGTATCAGATATAAAAAAGGATCTCAGTTACAGGATGCAACCTGGGCACAGAGCATGGAGAAATGTAGGTTTGCTTGGAATCACTTTGCACATATGTTCTCTATTTACTTGTTGCTCTCCTTATGGGATGCTATTGAGATACCCTTTTCTTTAGGTACTGCATAGGCTTTTAGGTGCACAACTCGTTGAAAAAATCGCTGCCAACCTTGATGATAAGGTGAATTTAATTATTTACATTTATCGTTTTACCTTTCCTAACATATTTGCTTCTTGTTAAGGAAATTCAAGAAATTGACTTTGTATCTTTTAAAAAAGTTCAGGCTTTAAAAATCTGGTCCTTCATAATTTTAATTACACACCAGCATGATCCATTCCCTTGTTCAGATGGCGATGGAACCTTTTCTTTTGTCCAACAAAGCTGCATCCACAGTTATGTTTTCCACTATACTAATCTGAAACGGAGTGCACAAGGTGACAGAACTGAGACCCTGAATCCAAATAAAACGGTCTTATTTGAAAGACAATAAAAGCTGGACTAGAGACTTCCCTGAGATATAAAACTATGAATTGACAATTAATAACTCATACTGAAGGGAAAAAAACTGCTATTCAAGATAAAACTATGTCAACAAATCTCTATGATTGTATCAGTTGCATTCAATAATGTGATCTTTTTTACCACTGCAACAACCTATGCAATATTTTATTTTGAAACTGCAATGAAAAGCGATAATACAATCTGTTAGGCATGAAAGGTGTTAATTACTATGCAGTACCCTTTGTGAGCTGCAACCATTTTATGCTGTTGCATACTTCATGCACCTACAAGCTGTATAAATCATTCCCTTTTCCAGATTGTTCACTGCTTACGTCTTCTGAAGAGATTTAATCCAGATGAGTTTAAGCCAAAAGGTACAATCTCAAACTACAAACTTGGCAAGAAAGGCCTGGAAACTGATCAAGTCATGGAGCTTCCATTAGACAACTGTATATATGATATGATCGATGCTCAAGGGCCAAAAGGCATAACCCTTATTGAGGTACCTCTCTGGACCTTTCAGCGGGGGAACTTTGGTGTAATATTCTTTTTTAATTATATATGCTAAATTTCTTCACAGCAACAAGAGTGCCTTCATATTCCTTGTTTCCAGAGTGCTATTCAGCATAATTTAATGATTGAAAATATTCTTCATCTAACTTCCTCTGAGCTATTTGCGAACATATTGAAAATATTATCGAACAAAAAAAGAAATAATACCTCCCAAAAAACAAATTAACATTTACAGAAGGTCTGTGGCTCCAAGCTGCCCCACTGCCCAATGAAGGTTGGAATAGACCTTGCCACCACTTTTATAGTTCGTTTTTGTCGTTGCAAGTTTGGTATTTTTTTCTCTAGGTTGTGACTGAGAGGTTGGACACAATTGCAACAACGACTGGGACTGGGTGTGGCGGTAGGTCGAGGGTTAAGGCTGCAACATTAGTTGAGCATAGTGGTTGAGGCATCAAATGGGCTGCTGCTGTGGAGCATCTGTGGTGTCGGCACCAAGAATAATGGCGAAGGCAAGAGGGCATGGTGGAACTGCTGCCATGGAGCATCTTTGTGGTGTTGGTCAAGAATAATGGTGAAGGCAAGAGGGCATGATGGAGCATGGGTAGTGATTGAGCAGAACGGAGGAGATTGTGCAGGTCGTAGGCAATGATAGCAGCTTGACATGTTATTGTGATATGACTTTTTCTTATCCGTGTTGATGCTTGTGCATGAATCTAGTGAGCTAAAATTGTATGCGCTCAAACAAATTTGATAGAAGACTTCAATATCATTCTGAAGACCTTTGTGGTCAGCGACTCAGCGTTGTTATCCCTCAATATGGGAGTTTCATAAGCAATATAACAATTCACACATTTTGAAACTATTGTTTCCCTAATGGGCCCTTATCATTTCAAGCTAGTTGTTGTTGTTGTTATTTGGGGTTGGGAGAGGGGGGGTGGTAAATTCACTCTGGTCTAGGCTAGGGCCTGTGCGTACAGTTTCCAAATAATGATCATATACTCTATGTCTTGAAAAGAGCCAAAATTGTGATCTTGCTATCTTCAAACTATATAAAACATATCGTCCACATGTACACCTGTCCACAGTTGTTTATGATGTAATTGTTTTTTTACCATTCTAGAAGTCGCACACATGTCTACATAAATCCATCCACACAAGGTCAGCATACAGCGCACCAGCACCAGGGATGACTTGCTGTCTGTGTCTCACCAGGGGTTAAATCTCCAAAATAGATTTCAAGCCTAGCCGCTATGAACCACAATGGTCCTGGTGACATGACTGTCGCCGCCTCAGAAACTTGTGATATGTATAGTGTGCTTCCAAATGATGGAGTAGAGACTCAAAAGAGGGAAAAAACACTCTTTATGTAGTAGAATTGTAGAAATATGACCTTTGATAGAGTCTATACATCTGAGCTATCAGTAATCTCTCTATCTTATATCTTATGGGCAAGCAAATGCAAGCCTATGACTATCCGGTGCAGCTTATCATGAGATGTTAGCCAGTTTTAGTCCTGCGCTGATTCTGTGTTGTATTTGGCTCATTTCTAGCATCATAACTTTTTTTTTGTTTGAGCTGCATTTCTAGCATCACAAGCATTTCTTTGTTTTTGTTTGAGCTACAATGGCATTAACTAATTTATTTCGTCCCGAACTTAAATGAGATAGATATAAAATTCTTGCAATGACATTATCCTTCTTGGTGTAATCCCTAATGAAAATAGGCAAAACTCCCTGTCATGAAGACAATAATATATGGGCACATAAAGTTGGTTGAGTGTTGTTTTCTTTTCTCTAGTATGAATACATTTTTTCTGTTGAGGAAATTTCTTTGTTCATATTTGAGCTTTTAGAACCTAAGTATATTTATTTGAGATCCATCACAGCTGTATATTTATTTGCCTTTATTATTTTTATATTATTGTTGTTGTTTATTGAAATCAGCAACTCTTGTTCTCATTAATTTCCAATCAGCTTGGCAAACGTCTTGGGGGAAAGTACAACAATTCGAAAGAGCTCCATGATCGAGTATCATCTATGCATGATAGATTCAATCTGACTGTGGAGGTTGAAGTCGTTGGCAAAAGTAAACAGGGCAGAGTTTGGACTTCAAAAAATTTTTCGCTGTACAATGCTACTCTGCGAAATTGTGATGTGCCAGATGATCATGACTATTGTTCAGTATGGCCTCTCATTCCTTCTGAAGAACCGACTTCTGTTAGCCCATATGGTTTTGTGGTTAATAACAAACTCTTGTTTGAAGAAGATTGTCATGATGAACCACCCGTACATCGTCTCCTGAATAGCCATGAAGCTTGTGTTGGAGTTTCTCAACCAGTTGAACAAGGTACATCATTCTAAATTCCTGTCAGTTCTTTTTTTCTCTCTCTAAAATAGTGACACGATCATGCATTACAATGGGCCCATATGACTGGGAATAGGCTGGGGGTGTGCATGTAGGATAAAACACATGATCCAACTTTTGTTTTTCTGTTAACCAACCACTTGGTTTTCTATCTTGTTTATCTGAAGAGGTGTTGGTACAACATGAGGGGAGGGTTGGACGGATGATTCCCCTTTTTATAGTAAGAAATTGTGCTTAGTGTTTCTTTGGAAACTACTGTGCTGCTGTAAGAGCTTGTGGTCTCTGTGCCCATAGATCCAAAAGGCCCATAGAAAACCTAGAGTTTCAATCTTTGATGCATGAGCACCTTATTGAAATCAACAGAGTAGGACAGAGTACAGTTTTGCTCAATTAAGGTGATCCTTTTTTTTTCTTTCAGATAAAGTTGCCTTTCAGAGGAAGAGGCATTGCTGGCCCACGTCAATTTCTGATGATCGAAGACAGAAAAGGATTATTCACATATTAAAGGTTGCTTGCTTACCTGTCAATCAATATTCTTGTATGAACTATCTGCCAAAATACCGATGTGCTGGAAATCGCTGTTCTTTTCCCTTTGACTTTCTACGAGCTTCATTTGCAGCATGAAATTTAGTCAGAAGTTGCTTTTGTCTTGAGATTTTATAGGATCATAGGATTGTCTGTGGCTTGTTTATACTTCTAATTGCATTGTTAGTGCATACGTTAGGTATGCAGATATCTGCAAGTGGTATCTGTGCATTAACCCTCCACTTTATAGGAGCACCTTACATACTTCCAATTGCATTCTCTATTCATACTAGTACGGTGCCTGTGTATTGCTATAGATCTCAAATAAATATACCATGAAATTTGATGTAGCAAATCCAACATAATTATCCTTGAAACATATATAATTAATAGAATCAACTTACAATTACACGTACACATGTTATATGAATACAATATTTTACAAAAAAACATCTTGCAAACAACATTCATTTCTACACAAATCTATCCACAAAAGATCTCAACCGAGTGGTTGCCATAGAACTGTTACACACCATCAGCAGCTCCTCCTTTTAATTAGTTAAGAGGTGGTGCTGTTTATCTACAAGTACTTTGTGCAACTTGTATCCCTTTTAGAGGACTTTAGTCAAATAACCTTCCGGCCCAATCATTTGAAACTGATTTTTTTTGGATAAGTTCTTCATGCTTCGTTGACACCCTTACAAGTTACTTTATGCTTCGTTGACACCCTTACAAGTTACTTTACCGTTCAAACATTGTTCCTTTTTTTTTCTCACTTGCTATGTCTCTTGAATCTCATGAAATTGTGGTACATTAGCAGCTATGAACACATGGGTTCCCACCAGGCAGTTTGTTCTGCCCTCTTTGCTTTACTCATCTGCAGCCTCCCTTTTCACTGTCACCACAGTTGGTAGTAGTGCAAGTCAATGTTGTTAAGTCTGCTAGAGTGCTAGTCGAACCTAGTTGTATGGGTACCTATCAGCCAGTTAATCTTGATTAGTCATCGATTAAGTCCAATTAGTTGCGGTGGCTGGTTGGCTAGTCGAGCAGGATAGTCGTTCTGCTTACTTGCCTAATCCAGGATGCATATAGCATAGTTGTATAAGTAGTTGACTACTGCTACTAGACTGCACCAAGTGCACAGACACAGAAAACACAGTAAATTGGAAAGCAAAGCAAAGCATCAGGCATGGCCACCTAGTTGTCCAGAGTCCAGATTCAGACTCGATAGACTCCAGAGCAGCAAATAAAAGAAATTGCTGAAGGACATATTACTTACTAGGATTCCTTTTATCTCTATCTCTTATTATTAGGCTTTGAGAAGCAATCACCTTCGGACCTCTCGTAGATTATCAGCTTGGCTTTGCTCATCACCAGTCACCGTCTTCCATAGAACGTTTATTGAATATGGACCTTAGCCTCATATCTTCCTTTATGGCAAACAACTCGGCTGGATTCAAGTATAGGGTTGCCCCATGCAGCCTTTTGCTCCATTTGGTTGTCCCATCTCTTGCCAAAGTAGCACAGTTCCTCTTTGAGTAAATTTCTATTGTCTGTCAAAGAATGCTTGATGGATCTCTTCGCAATATCCATGGCTGGCATGATGTCAGGAGCTGCTGGTGTCTCATCACCATATTCTGTCCCCAGGAAATGAGAACTGGCTGTTTAGCTCATACAATATTCCACTAAAGTCCAAAACGGCATGAAAAGGACAATGCTCTCAAGTCTCAATCATCTCCTCTTCAGTACTAGTTGACAACTAGTCGTCCATCACTTAGTCAGATGACTAGTTGTAATTGGTCCCTGATTAGTCAAACGACCAGGTTTCTAGTCGAGCTAGTTGCCTCGGAGTGCCAAATCAAGATCCAGAGACCAATAACCCGATTCATCATGACTTATTGGATGATTTAATAACATTGGTGCAAGTAGCTATACCTGTGGTAGGACCATGCATTATGTGATATGAGAGACAATTTTATGGCTGCTAATCTGTCAAGATGTGATGATAGACACAAGGAATTTGCAATAAAATGATAAGAACACTGTATGTGGATTTACTATATCATGATTTGTGGGGATGTTAGTTATCCAAAATGTATAGGAGAGCCAGTTACATGCTTGAAGTATTTTTTTTTTATTTAAAATCTCCAGGTTGTGGCCTCTATCTCTGGCATGTTTGACCCTACTTTTCTGATGTGGCAGCTAATGATTAGTTAACTGTTTCATGTTTTTCATTTATACAAAACTAGATTAACTGTTTTATATCATTTTGTTCGTTCAAACAAGGATGGATAAAGGAGGGCATACTAGTGTGGTTACAAGACAATAATATCCTAAAGAGAGTTGTGAGAAGCATTCTCTGTGCGCGCGTGCGCTTCACTTTCATGTGCATGCATGGTGTATATACTCCCTTGCATGTCTGTCTTCATCTTTTATAACAACTTTTAGTTTCCGTTTGCAGAAACATAGTTTTGTACTGATGGTGGAGTTGCATAAATGGTTAGAGAGAGTTGAAAAGGAAAATCGGAAAATATTTGACAGGAAGACATTGATTCACACTTTGGATAAGCTTCAGCAAGAGGGTACTTGTAAGTGTATTAAAGTTAATGTCCCTGTGGTTACAAACTACGCTGGCAGCCGTTCCATATTGATGTAATACTGAATTCTTCTGTTAAAGTCATGTCACCGGAACTCATGGATCAAATTAGGAACAGACTAAGAAATTTTGATTCTCAAAGTCGTTCAGGTGCAGCAGCTAAACTGAAGCAAAAGCAAGATACAGCTGCCATACATGGCTTGAGGGTTCAACGCAGAGTCAAAGTTAAAAAAATATCAATATCAGAAGCTATTCATGACAACGGATTCATAGGTGCAAAGATGATTCGGGCAATATTGTTACATAAATTTCTGTGGGTATATGTTAGTGGTTTGCCAAACGGGTCCAACGACTGTGTCAAAGAAGGGTAGCATTATGACAAGAACCTTGATCAATCATGTCTGTTATTTTCAATCACAGCAGCTATAAAGAAAATGCCTCTTGAACTCTTTCTACAAGTTGTGGGATCAGCAAAGGTTCATACCTTGATAAAAAAGTGTTCTCTTGGAAAAACACTTTCAGAGATTCCTACCGACATATACAATCAGCTCATGGATACTCATGCCAAGGGCCGACTCTCGCGCCTAATAAATATTTTAGATAAACTCAAGGTAATATTCTTTGTCTTTGGTGTTTGGCTGTTTGCAATTATTATTTTGAGAATTGTTAAATTAAATGTATTGTATAGCTAGCTGTGTATTTCTTCTGTTCTAGAGGGTGTTGTCTGCACATTTATACATTTCCATTTGTGCAACGAAAATCTCAATCATTAGGCGTGTTCTTAAAACTGAGATTGCAGGACTGGATTTCTTTAGGTTGATATTTTCCTGCTGCATTTATCTTGTTATACCAATTCCTCTTCATGTTTAATGCAATTCAGTTTGCATGCTATCTTGACTTATCTAGCACAACAAACTTAAAATGACCATTTTTTTGGGCTATATATGCTAGTTGATCGGACTTCTAAATGGATACATAGAGGATTCTAATGTGCAACCAGATGATTTGCCTACTCATTCGCTGGAGCTCAGGCCTTACATCGAAGAACCTACTCCAAGGATCATTCTGTCATCACACGTTAATGGAAACCATTGTCCAAAATTTCGACATGATTTTCAGCTTTCAAAGCTGGAATCTGTCGATACTTACTGGGAAACATTAAAGTACAGTTATGTAACAGCAGGCTTGGCTGAGACAAGTGCCTTCCCTGGCTGCTGCATCCCTGAGGTTTGTCATCAATGCTACATATTGTTGCACTATCTTTATCTTTTCCTTCTTGAAAGTTTTAGTTGGAGGTGATGCTGTGTCCAGCCACACCCCCTACACCTGAAGCAATTTTCTGGATGCACATTTATAGACATGTTTGTGCCTTTTGCAATATCACTAGTTAAATGCCCATGCTTTGCTACAGATAAAATATATATTAATATTTGCTACAACAAATGTTTTTTATGATATGTGTTATCAATTTTTCTTGTAAGAAATACTCACCTTAATTTGACTTTATATGTGTATATATGCAGAAAATTGCATTCTGTAATGAGCATATATAGGAGATTGATTGATCCAATGTGTCCATGCATGTGATTTGTTTTTAGATTTGAGTTTTTTTCTTCACAGTTTAAACTTGTTCATTGGCAATTCATGGGCATGATGCTTGTTACCTAATAATAATGATATCTTACAATTGCTTATCTAAATTTACTGAACACATTCTTTGTTATCCCTTCATGCACTTGGAGAATGCTTGTTTTCTCAAATTTGGGCTCCTGTACGGGGTATTATCATTTGCTAACTGGTAGAGTGATTTTTACAAGAACCTTTGTATCATTCTCTATGTACCCCTCCATTTCATACATTATATCCTTTCTTTTGTTTGGCTGTTGCAAAATATACTGCATATTCGAACCTTTCTACTAAAACGTGCAAGTTCCATTTGAATGAGGAGTGCAGCTTGCATGCATATCATATCATAATTGACCTCAATACCAATACTATTTGGCACTGATGATGGTGCATCAAGAGGTGCAACATTGTATGGCATAAGTTAACCTCCCAAGGCCACATCGGATCTTTTTACTCTTAATCTTCAAAACGAATACGAGAAAAAAAAACACTAATTGAACACTCGTAGAGAAAATTCCTCGAAAGTGTTGCTGAGCATCAGCAGCAACAACAACAAAAGGGTTTAGCAGGTACGTGTGATTGAAAAATTACCTCAGTCTAGAATTTGCCTACCAAGTTTATCAGATGGTGATTTTCCAACAAAAATTTCCAAAACATCAAGCAAAGCCCTCAAAGTAGCATAGAACTTTCTCATTTCAACTGCTCTAGATCCCATCCTGATCAAAATAAAATGGCCATTAGAAATATTAGTGTGCACAAGATGATTTTTCTATGCTTATCATAATACTAATAGAATGTTAGCACAAGAGCAATACAATGATGCAATATCGTTTTCATCAAACAAGGTTCCTGAAAGAAATAGCAAGTGGCACAAATAATCCCCACTGCAGAACTAGTTGTTAGGCCAGCAAGGCACATCCACTGCTTTTATGCACATTAAAGCTTGTCTGTGCAATTGTTGATGCGAAAAACACACACTGGCCTAGAAGATCTGCTTAACTCCTGTGCAGGTCCAAAATCTTGCTTTTAGGTTCATGAGCGTGCCAGTTGATTTGATCCTGCAATCAACAAGAATAAAGACAAGAAAACCGCGGTTTATTCCATAAACGATAGCCGATCGGCTAGTTGCCGATAACATATCATTTATTTTCGAGCCGATGTCATATTGGAATCGATCAGCAGCAATGAATGAATAAGATAAAACTAAATCTACTCGATCGGCTGTAGATATTAACAACATATAATCTTTACTTCAATACATACTTAAACTAAATGATTGGGATAGATCGGTCGTCATGCCGAGACAGTATAAATCACTTAAGTCGAAATATATATTAAAATAATGATTATATAGGTGTTTATAGCATAGCCGATCAGATAGATCTAGCATGTATCGGCTAATACTCCGATACCACTTTATACTAAGATATCAAAACAAGCAAAATACATTAAACAAGAAGCCTAATATACTTTAATGTAATAAGTCTTAATAAAAAGGGAGATTTAGCATAACAATCAAGCATATAAGATAAAAATAGCTAAATCAGGTAAGATCGGCTGAAACTCCGACACTATCTCTATCAATGATCATGAAACAGGCTAGATACCACAATTATATATAGAACTTCATAGATCGAACTCAACAGATGCAGCATTAAGCATAAAGATAACTGTAAGATCTAAACAAGATAATGAAAACCTCTAAGAGATGGTTGATACATGATATAATCTAGATCAATAACGAGATTTAACTCTATCGGCTACTTTCTAGTAATAAAAACTAGCCAATTGCAAGTTATATAGCGCAACTGATAAAGATTATAAAGTATATATGATAACTCGACGAATTACATAAACAAGATTAGAGTGTCATAAAGATGGAAGCACTAATCCCGAGAACGCAAACCGCCATGACAAGTTTACCTCTAGTTGAAGATCGAATCGATGCAGCTCAACCCGAAAGCAAGAACTCGTCGAAATAGAACGAAAGTAAAAAGGGTGGCGATGCGCCGAAAGTGTTACTGAACTGTTGTTGTTTAATTACAGGGGTTCGGGTCATATTTATACTCCCTCCATCCACCAAAAGTTACACCTATTTCACATTTGAGTTTTTCTAAATAAGTTTCCTATTTGTAGTCTATGCATTCAATACTTAAATGAAGAGATAAATTAAATGTTTTATTAGAACCCAAGGAGTCATCTAAATACTCATTGGTTGAATGCTTGCATTCACTCATTGATTTTGTAACATCCAAGGTGATTTAATTTTTCCTTGGTCTTGGTGTTAAAAGTAATATGTGTAACTTTTGTGGATGGAAGGAGTAGCCGAGATACATAATATGTCCTCGCTTGACACGACTCTTATCTCTAACAAACTCTAAGATACACATAAGTCTTTACGGCAGACCTTTGCCCAAAACATATCTCTAAGGAAATTACATAAAATATCCTAATTAATAGGTACAATTGCCTATCTGAGAGCCTATCTCCATCGTGGCTATCTCCATCGTGGCAATCCTTGTGTAGCACGTTGATCGATTCTAGAAGCAATTTTACAACTGTCTTCAACAGAATCGTTTGTATCGGCTGTCCTCTGTCCGATCCATCTCAGCCGATGCATACTCCAGCCGATGCCTTCGCAGCCGATGCAGACTCTGTTCTTCGAATCCAACTCTTTGCTGAATCCGCTTTGATTCCAATGCTGGACCTGGTTCATATCTTACCAAATTTGGTCGTTAACAGCAATTAAAGAGAGGGCATATTCTGTACTGAAAGTTCTCGACTCCAGGAGCCTCTCCTGCTCACGTTGCATATCAGCAACCCGGTGCCGACTGTTATACTCTTGATAGAAGTTCCAGAGGACTTGCATGTCATTCTGTTGGAACTAAGTAGAGAGAGACATATAGTCCGTGATGGTTAGAAGCATACCTTGATTACAGAAGCTAAACCTGTCTTGAACTGATAAACTCCTTGGCCATCGCTGCTGGGGTCAAGGTTCTGTTCCATGTTGTATGCTTGCTCACAAACTAGAGAGCAAGGAGAAGAGATTATGAGTCAGTCGGTTCAAGTGTTAACCCTAAACCCCAAATTCGGCGGCGGAGATAGATGCAAGAGGGAGAGGAAGCAAGGGAGGGAGGAGATATAAGCCTGCAAGCTAGCACTCCTCATTCAAATGTTAATAATTGACCTCAATGCACAATCTTGACTGTTGCTATCAACTATTTCACTGTTATCTTCAATGATCGTCTGCTGCAGTTCTGCTGCCTCCAATGTGGCTTTGCAACCCAAGTTGGCTAGTTCCATGTATCTTGACACTATTTCATGTTTGTAATGTCCTTTAACTATATATATATTGTAGCTGCAAGCATGTTATTAGTTGGTGAAAATTTTCCGGTAGTTAATCCTGCTTTTTTATGGGTTCAACTGTTATGCCCACTGTAAACAATATTGGCTGGCATTGGCTATTTTGCTAGCTTATTTAGGTCTGTCAGGCCTTAACTGTCAACCTTTTATTTTCATCTGTACATAATAATATGATACTGTCCATATAGGTTTCTCATCCACGTTCATGGAGCTCAGTAAGAGTAATGACTACTGACCAACATCTGGAATTACAACAGCGTCTCATGAATGAAAGTGAGACGAAGTTTGCCACACGATTGCAAAGGAGTTGAATCTCTCTTTGCAGCAGGTATGTGTTTGAAATCCCCCATTTTCCAGTTGGAGATTCATAAGGATTACTTTGTTTATTTAGTTTACCTTTTCTATTCTTCTTTTGTGCTAATTCTTGTAGTAGGCCACTTGACCTATTAGATACTACCTTCATGGATCCGTCCCCAAATATAAGGGATTTAACATATTAACTAAGGGTATATATCTAGAGAAAACATCAAAAACATTGGGAACTATGAAAATTCATCCAAAAACATACTTGTACATTTTAAAAAAATTGGGAAATCTATGCCTCAACTATGATATACATCCACGCAAAAGTTGATTCAAAGTTCTCATGAAAATGACAAATTTAGGTTGCATATGCGCTAGATGACAAATGCTTTCACATATAACATATGTATAAATAACCTTTTTTTTCCGCGTTGTATAAGGGTTTCATGCATATTTGTGAAAATTTGTATGGACTTAGAGCCCTCATGATGAATGCAAGTGCCATTTATAATAACATTTGCTTACATCATTCTTTTCTAATTAAGAATTTTTACATTGCTAACAATCGTTTTACTATCCCAAATTTCCAATTGCAATCTTTTATGGCTGATTTGTTTTTAGTCTGTTTCTGAGTAGTATTTTTAATTTTGTACTGTCACTATCTATGGTTCCCCTCCAATATCACTGACTGGACCGGATTGATTTCTGCTTATATAGGTGCTATGTGCTTCCTCCAGGCAGCTTCATGGACAGGCAAGTATGTCTGGTACACAGAATCAGCGAAAATTTAGTTCTCGATCAACCTCTCAGAAAAGGAAGCGATCTGCTATTGAGATTAGCATGAAGTTTATAAAGCAAAAGGCTGAAGCTAGTGGATCAGCTGAACAGAGGAAAGAAATAACAGATATAATCTCTTCAACATCCACTGAAAGGGGATTCCCGGAGCATGCGAAATTGTCTAGACATTCCAGTTCAATCCATGAAAGTAAAAGCATGCCAATTCTCTTCAGATCTCATGAAAATGTCATTAAATTCAATGAAGCTGAGATTACTAAAAGAGGTGTATGCAAGTCCTTGGCTATTTCCAATGCATTGGAGCTCCTGAAGGTGTTTTTTCTTAGCTCATCATCGGGGTCAGAAGTGCAAGCTACATTAACAGCAACGTTCCAGCTTTATTCAGAGCGCGAAATTTTAACTGCTGTTTCCTTTTTGAGAGAGAAGAATTTCTTGGTTAGTACGCTTAACTTATTCATCAATATATCAAGTCTCATTTGTTTATTTCTTCACTCACACACGACCTCAGACGTTTTAATCTGTAGTAGCCCCCTTGTTGGGACCTGCACAAGTAAAACAAATATATTGACAATATCATGTTAGATTTAAAATCTTGCATGTAATGTGCAGCTTTATTAACTATAAAGGTTTTTTCCCTAACTTCTTGCCGTGAGAAAACTATTTGTACATATAGCAGTTTCATAGGATTAAATTGGATTGTGGTCTGTTCACAAACCACCCACCATTAGGGAGTTAACTTCATACAGAACCTAGATGCACTAAATAGGTTTGCCTTTAGTGGATGTCGATGTTTTTGCTCTCCTGCTGATGGTTGGAAATATGTTGTAAGCCAAGTATAAATGTGATTACTCCTTCCATTCCAAAACACAAGCATTTCTAGGATTTGAAATTTGTTCCACAATATAAGCATTTCTAGGGCACTGATTCCAATGCACGGAAATCCATGCATTTTCAACCAATCAGGTGGTTCGTAGGGGTATCTAAGCAATTCAAAATTCAAAAGTTGACCTAAGGTTGACAAAGGGAATCTTCCCCCTCATCCTTTATCTTTGCTCAACAACCTATAAATGCTTTATATTTTGGAACGGTGGGAATAAGTTACATATATAAATGCTTATACTTTGAAACGGATGGAGCAGTCACATATTCCTCTTGTTTTGCAGGTTACTGGAAATGGAATGAAACCTGCAACCCTTTCTGGAAAATTTTTTATTGACGCTTCTCGTTCACCCTTCCCATTTGGTTCAGGAAAAAAGGCTTCTGAGTTTTTGAAATGGCTTATAGGGCAGCAAAAGAATACTACAGACAGTACAGTTTATTTGTATCCAGATCTACAATGTGGGGAAATTGTTCACCTCTTTTCTTTGGTGTTTTCAGGAGAGCTGCTCATTTCACCTTCCTTGCCAAGTGAAGGAGTTGGTGAAACTGATGAGCCTAGCAGCTTCAGACCTTTCATCAAAGATTCCAGTGAATTGGATGACTGTACTCACAAACGCAAGGCTGTGGAGTTAATAAGCAGCAAGAGTAAGAAACGCAAACCTTTGCCCAAGATAGATACTGACTTCTGCTATCGTCGAGAGAAAGGTTTCCCTGGTATCCAAGTGGCTTTGAATCAAGAGAGGATTCAAACAAGCAATCTCATGCAAGTGTTACATCATAAAGAATGCCTCATGTTTACTTTAGCCAGGGAAATGGGCAGCAAGGATGTTGATTCTCAGGTAGAAAGGTCTGAAATGTTAACAGATTTAAACAACTCAAGTTCATTTCGCTGTTTATTATCTGCATCTCATTTGGAGAATTCTTATACCGGATGGCCTTGGGATGCTATGAAAATATATGCCGAGCAGTTACCATCATTATCTTGTAGTATTCTTTCTTCTGATCTGTTCAGAAATGCATTTTGTATTATTCACCAAAGTGGTGAACAAGGAATTAATTTGAGGGAAATTTCGCAGGCATTGCATCCACTAGGTACTCTTTATTCTCATGAATATAAATAGGTGTAGTTTTTGTAGAAGTTGTTGCATAAAGCTACATCTTTTTTTGCTAGAATTCATTTTGTTTGTTTTTACCCCTGCAGGAATGCAATATATCGAATTGGTTGTTGATACCCTTGAAAGATTTCAGCTGGCCATTAAGGTAGAGAGGTGAATATGTGTGAAGTAGATTGGTGTATCTGTTTTTATGTATCATTACTCTCTATTGATGGATTTAATAAAATTCACTTCATATGTAGTAGTACTTGGTTGTGGAATCTATTGTTTGCTTTTCTTTCTTCCTCTTTTGGCTTATTCCCACTTCTCCACAAATTTCAACTGACAGATCTTTCTACTGGCATTCTCTCTTTCTATTTAGTAGGATCAATAATTGCAAGGTTATGAGATTTAAAAAATTGTCCAAAATTCGCTAGAAGTTGTAGAACATCGTATTTTGAAGATTGTGAAAGAGGTAAAAACCACAGGTATTTGAACTGGAGGGAGTATATGACACTGATTAATAATGTACTAACATACGACTTCATTCTGCCTTCTTGGCCGCGCTTTCTTTGGTTGTTATTCAACCACATTAATTAACATATACGAGTCTGAATTTTGTCAATGGCTTCACAGGTCAATGCATATGATGGTGTGCAGATTGTTGATTCATTACATAAGCCAAAATATCATATAACCACACTTGCTGAATACAGTCAATGCAACTGTTTGTGAGCTCCGGTTTCTGAGACAGAATCAACTGGGGACACCAGAAATATAATGAAAGAGAAGTATGCTGTGCCTATTAATTTGCAGGAAACTGTAAAAAAGCTTGGTGATGGACACATTGTTTCAGTTCTCAATGTTCAAAGTAAGTCAAGCTCACATTTGCACAGTCAAAGTCCTGGAGATGATGAAGGCACATCTACTTGGCACTGGGGCAGTGGTTGCTCTCATGTTTGCAAGAGCCATATTTATCATCCAATATTACCATGGCTAAATAGTGATGGAAGCATTAATAGCACTGTCTATGAATGTTTAAGTCATCGGATTATTGGATATGTCATGCAGTATCCTGGAATTATGGAGGTGTGTGTTTCATTTTATTAATTAGACCTGCTTGCTTTGTGATGATAAATTTCCAAAGATATATGCAATCGAATTCATGAGTTCTTGGTTCACTCATATTATATTTTTATAAAGAAAGTTTACTTGTTTTTGATGTACAAAATAGATTAGACAAAAATGGGAAACTCACTGATAGATCCAAGGTTATTATCTTTTCGTACAACGAAATTTCCTCACACTTAATGGTTTAATTGATGGTTTAAACATGTTCTGTTTTGTTTGTGCTTCGACTGTGCTCGTTTCCCATATATTAGTATAATGTGTATTCTGATTATCTTCATTTCTTAGTGTTCTAGTTACTTAAAACTCTCATGTGGTTAATTAAATTCTTGAATTAAAGGTTTTGATCGTTTGCTCTGCTCTACCTCTCTCAGGAGGACGTTATCAATTGGTTGGATGTACTGAATCCTCAGGTATGTTGGCTGGTAGTTTAAATAATAATAATACTCTCTCAATCTTAATATAAGATTTAGTGGTACTAGTTTGCGTCTAATCTATCGTGTACTACTACAACTCGGAGTAGTTCTTATATTTTTGAGACGGCAGCTTTCCCCCGCTAATTTGTTTTCCTTCTCCGTTGGCAGACATGCCGGACCTTGCTGGGAAAGCTGACAATTGATAAACACCTTTATGTTCGGGTGTTTGATGAACCTGTGCCTACTGCTCCGACCACGCTGCAGAATATTTTGAGGCAAGGCCACAATAGAGAACCCTCCAAGTGTGGAAGGCGGTACTTCGCTAATCCAATGAGTACATTTATGCTGTAGGGCGATGCAGATGATGGCTTGTTCTTTAGTTATTAGGGAGTAGTGTAATTAATTTAAGATTGTGTAATGTAACTTGTATTCTTTCTTTCACACCCGAAAGACCGTCTAATTTTAACCCTCGACTAATGATTAATCGAATAACATGGTTTTTGTTATAAAAAATTATATTGTTGGATTCATTAAGTATTTTTACTCCCTCCGATTTTTGATATTTGACGCTGTTGATTTTTAAATATATATTTGATTAATTGTCTTATTAAAAAAATTATGTAAATATTATTTATTTTGTTATAAGTTGGTTTATCATTAAAAATATTTTAAACCTATCTTATATGTTTATATATTTGCATAATTTTTTTAATAAGAATGGTCATACATGTGATTAAAAGTCGTGTTAAATATTCCCCTGCAGTAAATTGGTAAAAAAGAAGTGTTAAATATTAAAAAATGGAGGGAGTATTTTCTTATGCCTGTGATTTTGCAACTGTAAGCGGCATTGTGCGAGTGATTGATTATTTCAATATTTTAGGCTATGTTTGGCTACTAGGGAACGCTTCACACGGGAGAAAAATTCCACGAGGGGATTGGATCAATTTCCCAACTGGTTCGTTCGGATCGGTTATTCGGTTTGGTGGCTGGAACGCATAAATCATCTTGCCAGGCATTATGCAAAGAACATACAAAGTTCTGCAGAATTAGAAAACTAAAACAAAATGACAATGGCTAATCTTTAAAACAAGCACCGGCATTGATGACTAACGAAGACCATTCACCATGATTAACTTGCTCACCTAGCCGTACAACCAAGATATTTTCAAGAGAGGCTTATAATCTTTTTAAAAATGTGCTAAGCAAGAACTTGCAAGTAAGAGATAAATACTGAAGGCGCTCTCTCTCTATCTTCACATTAGTTAGACTCAAGATTGAAGCTCCCGTCGTTTCGCATTCGGATTATAAGCCAAAATCAAAATTTAAATCTTTAAACGTAATTTATAATTTCTTTTAAAGACTTTTCATCGTAGTTTTTTCTAACTTTGTTTTTTAACAATAAATAACACATCTACAAAATTTTTACACAAATTATTTTTTTCATTGCGAATATGCGTATTCTGCATATTGACCATTTAGGCCAAACGATCAGGGCCTGAATATTGAAATAATCAATCACTTGCACAAACATAGCCTAAAATATTCTTAACACATCTACCAAAACTTATATTCTTCAGACATATCAATAGGCCAAATGAATTCTCACCAATTTCTTGTGGTGGTAACAGTTGGTTCTTACACTTAATCTGGCATCCAGTTGTTCGGCAGGAGCTACGACACGACATATCTACTCATGACTTAGTCAAGGTTATCCTCAGAGCTAGGGATGCTACAAAAGAGCTGGTCATCAACACCGTAACGCCTAAGATGTATGAGTGATCTGGCAACAAAGATGAATTTGCATTTCGTAATACAAACATGAACCAGTCTTGTAATAAACATATCTTTTTTTTTTGTTTACTTCTACATTCCGGTGTGTGGCGTTATGGCATTTTAATCTTGAATGAGGCATTTGCTTACCATTATGACATTTTGGTCCTTGGAACAGTGCTGTGTGGCATGTTTATATGATGCAATTTATGAGTAACCCTTTCATCTAATTAGCATTAGTGAAATTTAATATAACCATAGCGTTAGTATGGGTATTTTACTAATGAAGAATAAAACATCTTAGGTCTTTTTAATAGTCTGTTTGGTCAAGATGAAGATTGTTGTCGGTTTGTCTAGTGTAAAATAAACCTAAAATTGCGTATTATTCACGGAGCAATGTATGTATTATTAATTGGCTGGCATTCTCTGGATAATACTGTGGCAAGTTTTTACTTACAATAGGAGTATGTGACTATGTGAGTTCATTAATCTCAGCTGAAATTGAAATAAGTAGGAAATGAAAAATGGTGACAGTGATGTCTGCCTATTGAAATTAACCATAGATTGAAGGGACATTTCCTGTTCTTAATCTTCCAAATCAGTAGGAATGTGGGGCAACAACCCATCTTAGGCTCCATTCGGTAGTATCCCAACTCCTCTTTCTCGTTTTCCGCGCGCACGCTTTTCAAACTGCTAAACGGTGCGTTTTTTAAAAAAAGTTTCTATACAAAAGTTGCTTAAAAATCATATTAATTTATTTTTTAAAAAAAAATAGCTAAAACTTAATTAATCACGCACTAAAACGCTGCTTCATTTTGTGTGCCGGGGAGTGAGGGTTGGGTAGAGCCTTAGAGCTGTTAGAGCTATGTAAATTTTGTGAAAGAACAGAACAGAAGAATTTTTTTACTTTGAATAAGGAAAGCACTGCAGTATAAACAAAGATAATCTTCTACAATAAACTGACATTAATGCAGAACAAGCAGATACTATAGCAGAGTAATGTCTGGAGATCACTGTAGAACAATGGAAATGCAGAACAATAGGAAAACTTGGCAAGCAAGAAGAAAAGGATTAGCAGCCGCGTGGCTTCAGACGAGAAGCCTATAAAACCGCAGCAATCTCCTCCTCAACGAATCTTCCCACTTGCCCTCTTCTTCTTCCCACCATTCCCAATCCCATCCAAAAGTTTCCAGAAACTCATCCTCCTCCTCCTCCTCCCCCTCCCATGGCCGACGCAAACATGGCGTGGGCGGAGCTCCCCGAAGAGTGCGTCGCCGGCATCCTCCACCACCTCCTTTGCCTCCCTGACCACTCCATGTTCTCCGGTGTCTGCACAAGGTGGCGCACCATCGCCATGCGGCATCTGCCGCCTATGCAACCGTGGTTGTTCATGCCGTCCACCAACGCGACCTCCTTCTTCTGCGTCGCCTGCGAGCGCACCCACCAGGGGCCCTGCCTGCCGGACAACGCCCGCGGCGCGCGCTTCTGCGGCGCCCACCTTGAAGGTTGGGTCGCCGCCGCCGAGATTCCGCATGATGACCGCTCTGTCCCGGGGAATCGTGCCCCCGCTCTGCTCAACCTCTGCACCGGCGAGTGCGTCCTCCTCCCGAGATCCCTCCGCAACAACAACCCTGATACCACCTTCATCAACCACATCCAAGCCGTCATCCTCTCCTATACCCCATGTCAGGCTCACCCGTACTACGCCGCCGCCATAGTTTCCGGCAAGCCCAACATCATGTTCTGGCGTCCCGGCATGAGCGATTGGGTGCCGCAGATGCTCAAGTGGGACTCGGGGTTCAAAATGTGGCAGAAGCAGCTATCCAAGGACCCAATCGAGGACGCCAACTACATCTTCTTCGGCCCGCTCGGCGGGGGATTCTATGTCCTCAACAACAAGGAGGACCTCCTGGTGTACGCCCCCAAGGCCAACGACAGGCACGGCGAGCTCACGATGTCATCCGTGAACAAGTACCAGCTCCGCAGAAATCCCCGACCCACCATGCCGGAGCCAGGGGAGGTGCTCGCCCGCTACCTCGTGGAATCCCGCGGGCATCTGCTCATGGTCGTCAGGTTCGTCTCCACGGAGAAGGCCACGGTGGCGTTCGACGTCTTCAAGCTGGAGCTGAAGCCGCCGTCCTGGAAGAAACTCACCTTGGACACCCTCGCAGACCAGACGATCTTCCTCGGGCGAGGCTGCTCCTTCGCCGTCGAGATGAGGAAATCCAGCCAGTGCCCTCCCAACATCTACTTCCTGGATGACTCCGTGAGTTTCAGCGGCGCAGGGAGCTCGACCTCGCAGGCGCAGCAGGTCCAGGGGCCGTTCCCCTGCGGCGACACGGGCAGATGCTGCGAGCAGGGCATCGTCCGCTGCCCGCCGCGAGAGCCGCCATCAGACTCCTCGCCGTGGACTTGGTTCTATCTGCCCCCATACGTCGCCTTTCTTGAATGGTTTAAGACGCAAGCAATCAAACAACTGGAACAGGTGAGACTGCATGTGCATCGGGATGGGTAGAATTTTGTGCATATTGTTCAGCATTCTGTTAATTCTGCTCCGGTAATCCTTCTAAATTTGGCAACACGTTTGAGTAAGGATTGAGCCATGAATCCTTGTTACCATAACATGAGATGCAATGAAGATTTGATACTGATGATGCCAATATTTTAGACTTGCAGTTCTGATTTTCCTAACCCATGAAGGTTGTGATCTCTGTTACTATATCTTCGATTGATATGATGCCTGATGCCTCTGCTGTGCTGTGCTGTTAATCATTTTAACAGTCTGCTGTGTGAAATTTTGATCTCCGCAATTGTCTAATGACTGAATGATGCAGGCTGCAATTCTCCTAATTCACTTCATACAGTTGATTATTAAATTTGGGCTGCTACAGTCATGTTGGTGTTTTCCTATTTTCTTATAGGTTCTTTCAAAGTTCTTACGAATTTCAAATGTGAACCTGATTGGAAATTGCTGTGCTAAAATGAAACATGATTCAGCAGTTCTGATCTGAACAGGGATATATGAGAACCTGGTTGCAAATGTCTAATTTGGTATATGAGTGGCTGTTGCTGCTTGGTGAAGCACTGAGTTGCCTGAATTTGAGGACATGCCACCATCAACAGGAAGAAGTTGATATCCTCTATGGTTGCAAATTAGAATTATACTGGCACGTTAGCTTGTATAACCCTTGATTGAGTAACAACTGAAGACTGCTACACGTTGAATTATTTGCTTATCACTTTCCCTATCAGCTTTTCAACTATGCTTAAGAATTACAGCCTGCTTAAGATTAAATCTGTGATCATTTCAGTATTGTATGACCTCAGAACACTCATACAAAAGGTCTTTATGATGTTTTTTATGACTGCACAAAACAGGTGTTTTCTATGACTGCACATAACATTGGGCACTCCGGCTACATATCTGACCAAATTCTCAATATCGATAGGTTGCGAAAAAAAATATATCGATAGGGAAAAGTAAAACCGGTTCGGAGAAATATTTATTCGGTGAGCTACATTGACAGGGTGTCCTGACATTCTCTGGATAATACTGTGGCAAGTTTATGTGAGCTCATTAATTTCAGCTGAAATGAAATAAGTATAATTGGAGTATGTGGCAAGTTTTTTTGACCGTTAAAAAATATCTTATTCTTCAAGTTTTGCACTGAAGAAGTGGGAAACGAAAGCAGTTTAGTTACTTGAATCTACAGAAAGGAAATGAAAATGGTGGCAGTGACATGTGCCTATTGAAATTAACTATAGATTGAAGGACCATTCCTGTTCTGAATCTTCCAAACCAGTGAAAGGAATGTGGGGCAACAGTCCATCGTAGAGCATTGTAAATTTTGTGAAAGAACAAAACAGAAGAATTGTTTACTTTGAATAATTAAGGAAAGCAGTCAAAGCACTGCAGTATAAACAAAGATAATCTTCTAACAAACTGAAATGCAAAACAAACAGATACTGTAGAGATCAGTGTGGAACGATGGAAATGCAGAACTACAGGAAAACTTTGAAACCAAGAAGAGAAGGATTAAAGGGCGCCCGCTTCAAACGAGAAGCCTATAAATATGAGCTGCTCTCTTTGTAACCGCAGCAATCCATCTCCTCAACGAATCTTCCCACTTGCCCTCTTCTTCTTCTTCCCACCATTCCCAATCCCATCCAAAAGTTTCCAGAAACTCCTCCTCCTCCCCCTCCCCCTCCCATGGCCAACGCGAACATGGCGTGGGCGGAGCTCCCCAAGGAATGCCTCGCCGGCATCCTCCGCTACCTCCCTTGCCTCCCTGACAAAGCCATGTTCTCCGGTGTCTGCAGACGGTGGCGCAGCGTCGCTTCGGCGCACCTGACGCCTATGCAACCGTGGCTGTTCATGCCGTCCGCCACCGCGATCTCCTTCTTCTGCGTCGCCTGCGAGCGCACCCACCACCACCAGAGCCCCCGCCTGCCGGACGATGCCCGCGGCGCGCGCTTCTGCGGCACCTTCCTCGAGTGCTGGGTCGCCGCCGCCGAGATCCCGTATGATGAGCCTCTGCCGTGGAATCGTTTCCCCGCTCTGCTCAACCTCCGCACCGGCGAGCGCGTCCTCCTCCCGAGACACCTCCGCACCAACAACCCTGGTTCCACCGCCATCAACCGCATCCAAACCTTCGTCCTCTCCGATTCCCCATCCCAGACTTACCGGTACTGGGTCGCCGCCATAGTGTCCGGCAAACCCAACCTCATGTTCTGGAGCAACAACATGAACGAATGGGCGCCGCCGATGCTGAAGTGGGACTCGGGGTTCAAGATTTGGCAGAAGATGCTACCCAAGGACCCGATCGAGGACGTGAAATACTTCTATGGCGGCCCGCTCGGAGGGGGGTTCTATGTTCTCAACAATAAGGAGGACCTGCTGGTGTACACGCCCAAGGCCGACGACGAACACGGCGAGCTCACGATGTCGTCCGTGAAGAAGTTCGAGGTCCGGAGGAATCCCCGATCGACCATGCCGGGGCCAGGGGAGGTGCTCGGCCGCTACCTCGTGGAATCCCAAGGGGATCTGGCCATGGTCGTCAGGTTCGTCTCCACGGAGAAGGCCACGGTGGCGTTTGACGTCTTCAAGCTGGAGCTGGAGCCGCTGTCCTGGAAGAAAATCACCTTGGACGCCTTCACAGATCGGAGGATCTTCCTCGTGCGAGGCTTCTCCATGGTCGTCGAGATGAGGAACCCCTGCCTTCCCAGCATCTACTTCCTGGATGACTCCGCGAGGATTGACGGAGCGGGGGCCTCGACCTCGCAGGCGCAGCAGGTCCAGGGGCCGTTCCCCTGCGGCGACACCGGCAGATGCTGCGAGCAGGGAATCGTCCGCTGCCTACCGCGAGAGCCGCCATCGGACTCCTCGCCGTGGACTTGGTTCTACCTGCCCCAAAACGATGGCCTTCGTGAATGGTATGAGATGCACGTATTCAAACAACAGGAATAGCAGAGACTGCATGTGCATCAGGATGGGTAGAATTTTGTGCAGATTGGTTCAGCATTCTGTTAATTCAGCTCTGGTAATCCTTCTCAATTTGGCGCAATACGTTTGAGTACCATGAATCCTTGTTGCTATTTTTTCCATTGCTATGATGCCTGATGCCTCTGGTGGGCTTCTAATCGTTTTAACATTCTACTTTTTTTGCGGGGAAGTTTTAACATTCTACTGTGAGAAAGTTTCATCTCTGCATTTGCCTAATGACTGAATGATGCAGGCTACAATTCTCCTAATTCACCTCATGCAGTTGATTAATAAATTTGGGCTGCTACGGTCATGTTGGTGTTTTCCTCTTTTCTTATAGGTTCTTTCAAATGTTCTTACGAATTTCAAATGTGAACCTGATTGGTATAATTGCAGATTTGCAGTGCTAAAATGAAACATAGTTCAGCAGTTATGGTGTGCTTAACAGGGATGGATGTGGTTTCTTACTTTTTTTAACAGTTTGTCAGATACAAGAGATGGTCATTTTTAATTCAGATGGTTGTAATTGATATTTGGCATGTCTGTGTACATGTGCACTATCAGGAATGGCATTTTTGAGTACTTCATTGAAGTTTTGAGATTTCAATTCATAATGTGAATCATAAGTCTAACTTGGGACATGAATGGCTCTGGCCCTCTGCTGTGATGCTAATCATTTTAACATTCTACAAAGAGAAATCCTGATCTCTGCATTTGTTTAATGACTGAATGATGCAACGGACAGGTTTTCCTACTTCTGACAGCTGATGTTGTAGTGAATATACTTGTGACAGTTGAGTCGTTGATTAATAACTTATGATTGCTACATTCCTACTGATTCTTTTCCAGTATTATCTCAGAGATTCTTTCAAATGTTATTACGAATTTGAAATGTGGAGCTAGTTGACATTTGGAGTGCTAAAAGGAAACATACTTTTGAAGTTCAGGTTGTGCTGAAAGTAAGATGGCCATGGCATACCTGCAGTCTTTGCATTTGTTTTGAACCTTTTGTCAAGGACAAGTGATGTTCCTTTTGAATTAAAACTAGGATGGAACTGAAATTTGGCATGTCAGTGTACATCTGAAATTCTGCAGGAATTGCATTTTGTGCACTTGGACCTGAAATTTCATTTGGAGCTTTCTATTCACAATGTCTCTTAAGTGTCTGGTTTTAATTGTCTAATTTAAGACATGAATGGCAGTGTGATGAAAATTTGAGATTGTCTGAAATCGACGACGTGCTCACAGTAAGAAGTTGGTATAGTTTTTAAGTTGTTATTAAGTTTTTTTAGATGGGACTTGATTTCGGGTACCCATGAAGGTTGTGCACTTGTGCTCCGTACCGAGGAATCAAGCATCAGCCTGTGGTTGTGACCTTTATCTGTTCCTGTTTCTTGCCTGCATGTCTGATGCCTCTGTTCTGTGATGATTCACTTCTGGCAGCTGATTAATAACTTATGATTTTCATGTTCCTGTTGATTATTCCCCTCCTTCCTCAGATATTATTTCAATTTTTTTTTCTGAATTTCAAATGGAAAGCAAGCTGGTATTAGCAGTGCTAAAACGAAACATAATCCAGAAGCTTAGGCTGCCGAGGCGAAGCCACCCATTCCGTGCTCCCCTTAGCTGGATCCGGCGATGAGGCAGGTGGGTGGTGGGGCGGAGGAGGCATGAGCCGGCGCGCAGGGGGTGGTGCATTGTAGAAGGCGCTAGCGACGAGATGTTGCGATGGTCCTACCAGGGGCAGGATTGGAAGTCGGTTGACGAAGCGGCATCGGTTCGATGTGGTGGAGTTGGATAGTGGTAACTAAGATGGTGGGTGACAGAGCACAGCGAGAGAGTTGAGGGGGTCCAGGCGTAAATCTAGCCCAGTGTTTCATTGGGCCAGTAGTGGCAACGCCTGCGGAGCACCGTAACCTCCTTGGGGCACTGTAGAGGTACTTCCCTCCCGCCTCTCTTGACGGGAATCTCTAGATGAAAACCATGTCTAGGTTCCTGGACCGGCGATGGCGGCGTATTTGATATCGTAACCTTCGTGGAGGCGTCTTTTTTGGAGATTCTATCATGTGGTGTGGTTGTTGGCTTAGCAACGATTGGCCACGCATAGCGGCGGTAGGTTCGGTGCTAGGCTCCCCCTCTCAAGGGCTTGTGTTTGTGTTGTTGGTGCATGGTTCCTAGGCGTGCGCTCTGGTGCACGGCCAACCTTGACAGCCTCTATCATTGTAAAAATTTTCACAACATTTTTTTCCTCAATCTTAGTACCATTCGATGGCCTCTTCTTAGGCCATTCTGGCAAAGAAGTTCAGGTTGTGCTGGATATCAGGTGGTACTTGATGAATTGGATATTCTCCTTTAGCCATGGAATATCCGTTGTTTTTTTTTGTTATATTTGTTTCGAAGAGTTTGTCCAATACATGTGATCATCCTTTTGAATTCAGATGTTTGGAACTGAATATTTGCCATTTCAGTGTAGTTGTGATGTAATCATGAATGGCATTTGTAGCACTTCTTTAATGTTTGGAGTTCCATTTGACAAATTACAATGTGAGCCATAATTTGTGTCTGGTTGCAAATGACTGCTTTTAGAAATGAATGACCTTTTATTAATACTGCAGAATTAGGATGGTAGATTATCTGGCATCTGCTGCTCTAGCATTTATTGGGTGTTGGAAAGTTGGATGTATTGATCATATGTAGAGTCTTTTGATTACTTGTCTGCACCTATTTACATTTCGTGTGTTCTTGTTCAGAATGTCCTGGACTATCTTTCTTCAAGAAACTGAAGAAAATTAATTGCTCAGTTGTAAGAATGCATTGTACTAGTGTTACAATAAGAGCGTCTGATTCCTGAATCTTATTGAAACACTGGACATTTGGGATATTTTTTGACTGAATATCTACAGGGAAAAGTACAATTCACCCTGAGAAAAAATATCAGATGAGCTACGGTCATTGGGTGCTTTGCAATGCCACATAACTATTCTCTAGATATCACTGTGATAAGTCTCACGGTACATAATATGAGTTCATTTCAGCTGAAATGAGGATAATATGCAATGTCAATTAGCATGTTCTGTGTGGCATTTCCTTCAATATTTAAGCTGAAGAAGAGGGAATGCAGGCTGTTTACTTAGGCCATTTTTAGTTCCCAAAATAAAAATTTTCACGCTGTCACATCAAATGTTTAAATGTAAGAAAAAAAAACCAATTACACAGACACGTGTAAATTGCGAGACGGATCTTTTAAGCCTAATTGCGTCATGATTCGATAATATGGTGCTACAGTAAATATTTGCTAATGACGGATTAATTAGGCTTAATAAATTCATCTCGCAATTTTCTGCCGGAATCTATAATTTGTTTTGTTATTAGACAATGTTTAATACTTCAAATGTGTGTCCATATATCCGATGTGACACCCTAAAACAATTTTTTTTGCCAACTAGGGCCTTACTTGGGTCACATAGAGGAAATAAAAATGACCAGGTGGCATTCTGACTATTGAATTAACTGTAGAATGATGGGACACTCGTGTTCTGAACCTTTCAAGAAATACCAAATATTGGTGATAGAATATTAAGCAGCACTCTATTGTTGAACTAAATAAATGTTCTAAAAGATTAGTCTACTATAACAGGGCTGGAGGTAACCTTTCCCTTGTTGCATGGTGTCCATTAGAGCAAGTTTAATAATATAGCCAACTACCGGCTCCAAATCATCTATAGCTAATCTAATAGTCCATTCATACAATAGTTAACTACAAAAATATACTACAACATTAATACCGGTCCTACCTCTCATACACACATAATGTCCTGGAGTCCATGTTACAGCTGGCTATAAATCTGTAGCCCGTTTTCTTCTCTCTCTCATCTTTTCTTCTCGATATATGATTATAGCTAGCTTATAGCCTACTATTATACCTGCTCTTACCCGATGATACGAGGAGCGGGAAGAAGCTAGAGCACAAAGATGACATAGGATCTGAAATCGATGACCTGCTTACCAATCATGAATGCGACGCAATTCAGTTGTGGCGCATGCAAAGCTCTCCATTTTCTCATCTATCCGGTGTGAAATGGAGGTAGTATTAGTGTTCTTTTGTTATAGTATTTCTTATCTGCTCGCCGTGATTAGAATTACAGGGCTGCACAGTGAAACAAGACTCTTCCAAACCAAACATTGAAATGGAATCAGATAACATTCCCCACTGAAAGTCTAAAACCAAACTCCTTTTTCATTGTTACAATTGCCTCATCGACCAAGTACCGTCAAGGAAGCCTTCTAGGCCGTGAAGGTGTTATCGCTTAGTGGTACTCACCATAACCAAACATTGTAATGGAAATGGAATCAGCATTTTCTGACGAGTTATCTTTTAGTGGTACTCACCATAACAAACTTTAAATCAAAACGATTCAGGAACCCGATGAACACATCGCAAAGTTTGCTTCTCAGGAATGCAATATTATCACATTTGCAAGCATCCTACTCAGAACATGTCTGCAAAACTACTACTCGTAGCAAAGTCAACATATAATCAATTACAGATTCTTGGAAAATGAGGCCAGAAAAGAACACTGAATATAAACACCAGCAGATCTGCTGTAGCTAAGTGATAAACATTGCCGCTGATATGAAGACCTAATTCCATATTCTCAACACACAGAAGCACCAAACTGTTCTAGCTCTCGATTTTCACATGCACAGTGTAATTCTCATCAGATATCAAATTCATCGTACATGCCACCATCTGAGCCCCCATCATCATAATCATCCATATCATCAAAGTCAGCATCATCATCATCAGTGACCACATCCAGCAGATCATCATACATATCAAGCTCTAAATCAGAACCAGAAAAGGCACTGCTGCTGAAAATGTAAGCCCGGTACTTGAAATCAGAGATCGAGTCATGAGGAAGCTTAAGATCACTTATTCTAGAACACTTTGATTTCAGAGCATCATCCATTTGAATGCTGTAGCACTGGCGTATGTCCAGGGATTCAAGGTGCTGGCAGTGGTCAAGGATTGACATCAGCCCATCATTAGTTAGCTTGTTGCCAATCAGCTGAAGCTCTCTGAGCTTGGGCATATTGCTTGCAATCCCTAATGCTTCAGTGTCATCATCCATGATATCAGGGGCTGCATAATCCATTTGTAAAGTATAACGTTCGTTCAGCCTGAAGCATTTGAGCTCTGGGCAAGCTTTGCCAACGGATGCACACACATCACCATACAAAGAACAGAATGTAATATCCAGCTCCTCAAGCCGAGGAAAGCCCTTCATTGCCTCTGCCATCCCTTCATTACTGACATTAAGGCACATGCTGAGTTGAAGGCTCTTCAATGAGGAGGCTCTACATGGAAAGATAGATATATTCATGTAAGTGGACAAAATAAGAAAGGTAACTTATAGAACATTCATGGTAGAAATAAGTAAAATGGTCCATTAAGTAAAGTACTGGGTGCAGAAACATTGATAATAATCAGAGCAGTATACACAACCTGCTGGATGCCTAACTAGCTTCAACACACAGTTATAAAAATTAACATCACCTGCGGATGTCATTATATCACAATGTCAAACCATAGAAAGTTAGGAACAATACATAGAAGAATGAACGAACTATCCATATCATAGAGACAACATAATCTCAGCTACTAACTAACAATTCTATGTCTCTAGAGCTAGTAGTCTAGATGACCAGATGAAACAAAATAATCCATGCATACTAAGCTGGATGATAAACTGTGTATTGGTTGCTGTGCTGTCAAAAGGCCAATTTCTTCAGTGATAACAAACCTACACTATGCTATGTTAATATTGGTCATGACTTAAACCAAGGCATAACCAAAATAGTGGGAATACAAGTTCATTTGGATTGCAACCATACTGTTTGCCCTTTTATTTAGTAAAATCGCTAGGGTGGGAGCTGGATCAATGAAATATATTGGCAGTTTAATAACCATGCTAGTGCTTTTCTGATTGTTTGTCCTTCATTGATTGTATTTATTTTGAAAACTAATCAAATAATCACACCATGCAGTAAAGAACAAAGGATATTGTAAAAGTGTGAGAAGTGATTCGATTTATCCAAAATTTTGGCGAAGATTCCACTACACACATCTCAGCCAATATTTACAGGAAGGACAAGGGCAAGACCTATCGGTGGGCATGCTAAAATTTGGTATGCATCCAAGCAGTAGCCAAAAACATGGGGGGTATCACCAACACTTTGGCAGGCCTGGCTTAGGCATTTCGTAAAGTTCAACAATTTACATCAGGCTCTTGTTACAAACAATCCTAACATGATAAAAAAAATGAGCAACCTCACTCTAATGTTCTTCCTTAAATGCATACGGTTGTTTTGGAAATGTCCTTACAAATTCTAAAGTGAATCGATAACAGGATGTGTGTTTTGGAGGTTACCAAGTTATATACGCTCTACATATTACTGTGGAACAAGAGAGATATGATCTGGAGTTCTTGTCTGTCAGACCACCTGCCTTTAGGTGAAGAACATAAACAGGAAAAGGCAAATAAGTGTTACTTAATTAAACCACAACTAACAAAGTTTACAAGGGTCTTGCACAATAGGTAGTACATAAGGAGAGAGCCAGCATCTAGCATGTGATTTTCTATCAATGAATGGATTGAACTTTCCAGGACATGCTATGGTACCTCCGTTCAAAAACAGATGTCATTTAACCATATAGGCAGTGAAACCTTTAACATAATATTAAATTTGTCATCCAAAGTACACCAAAATCATTATATTTGTAAAACTAGCATTAACGCATATATAACCATAAAAAGTAGTACCAAAGCTGTGTATTGCATACTGTGCTGTCAAGAGACTTTCTTCAATTATAACAAATCTCTACAATGCCACCCCGCATACGTGTCGATGCTATGTTATAGGGATGTCTAACTGTATAAGGGAACATGTTTGGTACAAATGAAAGTGCATCATGTCAGTATGATTTAGGAATTCATAAGGAGTTGAATGCAGTTGCCTATAAGTTTGTCCAAAGTTAGGAACTAAACAATATCTTGCTCTATGGAGGCAAGATAGATGCAGGAGTAGGACTACAGACATAAGCAATTTTCTGGTACAAAAACTGGATTATCACTAAAATAACATTAAGCTCTGATTGATTTATTTCATATGTGAAAAAAAAAATTTAGATGACCTGCAGTACTACTGGATCAGTTCAGACTTCAGACTCCCAAGCCTCAGCATGTTTATTTGATCCTTCTTCTATATGAATAACTACCAGCCATTTCTAGAGTTTTTGGGAAGGTTAGTACAACTTGCTCATTTCCATCAGGAATTACTTAGAACAAACAAATTAAAGGCGACATGAACAAAAGTTCACATTCAAATAGAGAAACATTATTGAAAATTCCAAACAAACACAGATAATTTAAAGAACAGTGGTTCCATGGTTGAAATTAATAAGAGAAGGGTTAACTTTAGTAAATGTAAATAACAGGTTAACTTTCTCCTACCAATCCAACTTACTGAGATCTTAATTTTCACAAACAGAGCCGTTAAATAAAACATTGTACAGAGTTCATCCAGATTGGCTAAGATCGCACAAAACAGTACAACACAGCATGAGAGGTAAACTAATGCGTCCAATGCGTCCTATTCAACATGCAAGAAGCAGAAATGCAATAGGAAGGGGGAAATGCTGCTGCCACCTCTCGGAGATGTAGAGGAGGAGGCCATCGGTGACGAAGGAGTCGGCCCAGAAAGCTTCCATGGTGCCGGCGGCTCGGTCCACCGCGGCGCGCGCCATGGCCACCGCCTCGTCGACCTCCATGATGTCTCCCTGGTGGCTCATATCCACGCGGCGCCACAGCGTGGGGTCGATCGCCGCGAGCCGGCGCCACGCGCGGCACACCACCCCGGCCCCGACCAGGAGGTCGGTCACGTCCAGCTTCCCGAACACCGCCGCGAGCGCGTCCGACGGCATCTCCGCCCAGTCGCGGCTCTCGACCTCGCCCTCCGCCATTTCCGTCGGCGGCGGCGGCGGCGGCGATGACATGGGGGCTAGGGTTTGTGAGATTGGGGGGGAGGGGGAGAGACGGTGGGGGTTAGGTGGTGGAAGAAATCATTCGTTCACTCTCGTCAGACCCGCACACGGTCACACTCACACCTATCTCGCGCGGTGACATTCTGGCAATGATCAACAGTTTCGGGAAAAAAAAACATCACAGGTCACGTGCAGAAATCCCGTTTGGTAGTCACCCAAATATTGCCACTTATTTCAGGTTTCTAAAATAAAAACAATCTTTATTATTATAAAAGTAGGTATAATAATAAATGATATCTATGATAGAGATAACCGGACGAGCTGCACTCTTGGCTCAAGGACGAGGGGCCGCCCCTAGTCATCACCATTGTGTTCCACAGGCCATCGCCCTTGTTTGCCGCGTCGCCGTCATCCTTGTTCTCGTCCGCTTCAACTGCTCTTGTCACCTCCATACACTACCATCGTTGCACTTGTCCATCATGTCCTGCCGCCCCCGTCATCATACACCGTGACGCAACCGTCGGCGACATCACCGTCTTTTGAACTAGCACCCACCGAAGGCAAAGAAGACAAGGAAGAACGAAAGAGAAGAGGTGGGAGGAAGAAAGAGAAAGAATGAGAGAAGATAGTGGATCCCATGAAAATAGTAAAAATAATATTTGTGATACAGAACCTCTATTGAATAGACTTGCTATAGTGCTTACTATAGATGACGTAGCAAGCCAGTGCAGCTATCAGTTGGCTCTCTTATCGACCTTGCTCTAAAAAGACCGTAATAATGATGGTGATTCTCCCTTCAAACACTGACATCCTTCTCAGGATCTTAGATCCAGCAACTGAGATTCATCCCATGATCCACCCCATCTCTCTTGAGTGCCCCATGTCTCACCACCGTGAAAAGACATGCGTAAATCCTTGTGTTCCTCTTCTGCTCCCACAAAACAGCAGAGTGCTACCAGCTGCTCTCCCTTCCCAACCTGTCGTCGAGATCTCCCCTACATTGGCTCTCCCTCCACCGCACCCTACCATCGGCTTCTCCCTGCCATCGGCCCCTCAACCCGCCAACAGCTTCGCTCGTGCCCCCTACCCAATCAAACCCTAACCATCGCCCCCACCACGTGCCGTGTTGCCTCGCGGAACCTCTCCTACCAAATCACCATCAATCCATGTGCCTGTCTCATCACCGACTTGTGCTTGGAATCTTGGCTTTGTCATGTCTACTATATCGACGGTGAGACCATGGAACTCATGGCCTCTATCACACCTGTGACTAGACCTAGCAACCCGTCGAGAACAGGGAGATGGACTGTGTTGTCCTCCGCCCAGGGTTCAGCCTTGTCGAGAAGGTAGTCGCAACCGCAGCGAGAGGGAGAGCACCATCGAGTTAGTTAGGGACCTTCTCAGGAGAGGTGGTGATGGCAAACGTGGAGTGCTCATCAAGCACCCCGCATGGCCATGGAGGATGATGGTAATTGGTTCTCGTTTCCCTTGCAGTACTCCGTATTTGATGTGATTTTTTTTACCCATTTATATGGTCATATATCAATTTGTGAGTTTGATAGATTTAGTGCAATCTGCACATGTTTTTTCTCCTTCTCCTTCTCTCATATCTTCTCTAGATCCGGGTGCAACACCATTTGTGACAGAGCAACGACGAAGCGGTCGAGCTTATGGAGCTAGGCGGAGTGTATAAAGGCATCAGGCTAGAAGCAAGCCTGGGAGACCACGCCCTCTATATTGATCTTAGCACCAAGCAGAGCCAAATTTGTGGCAACACCCTTAGGCTGACTAAACAAGTTGGCAAACATGTCTTCGCCCTAGGTGATGAACTAGAGAGATGGATCTCTGAGCAAAAAAACATGAATGAGGATAGGTAATTCAGATCCATTGTGTTACGGCTTCAATCCAATAATATTGGACCATCTTAGGTTATAAAAACTATTGGATCATCAAAATGAATTTACATTTGGACATTTCAGTGAATTATGTTGTTTCTCTAATCGAAAATTTCTAACAGATGTTTGCTGTCTGGCAGGGGCTATTCACTACCATGTTGTTTCCATGTCCCTCCGAATGCCTCTTTGATGGCTTGCTATGGTCACTCTGCCTCTATGGTTCCGTCATCGCCCTCTGTTTACACATGTATCACCATGTAGAGGTCAACAAAACGCACATGTGGAAGATGCAGAGGTCAGGTATATTGCTCAGTATCTCAGGATGCAGGAGGAATGACAGGACAATATGTTGCTGCTTTATTCCTTTTTGTTTCCACTCATCTTCTAAAAATTTCGGTGTGTAAGACATCAGTTATGGTATGTTTAACCCAATATAAAGGATTAGATATGGTCTTGTATTCTACAAGAATTAATATGTGGCCTCTGAATGTGGTGTCCAGATATCATTTTACAAAATCTAGTAGGTATGTTTTCTATTTAGATGTTGCCTAGGTCTGAATAAAAGTGATACGCGCACGGTGAAGATCATATTGTAGCGGCTGCCGAAGCAACAAGTGCTCGAGTGGACGGTTTCAGAGGGGATAGCGACAATGCTCACAATCACCCTATGGCCGAAAGCAGGGCTCTTCCTGGCCAGTGAGAGGCTCTTAATAACGTGCGAATAACTTGACTGGATTAATCTTGCTTGCCGAAGAATACAATCGAGTGCCCCCTTTATAACTCAAAGGGGGATTAACTACTTCTCTAGATAAATGACTCCCTAGATTTAATGGATAATCCTTCCTAACAACTTAACAAACTAAAACCATCGACCTAGGAGTAAAACCTATGCACACTTAATTTGTGAGCAACAATACTTGCTACCACCATAGCTGACGCAATAGGAGTACGTGTCGGCCATGGCATCCCAGAAGAACATCGTGAAACTTTGCAAGCGATGAGACTATGAGAGAGAGGATGACCAAGCTGTAGAGGCTGACCAGTTCATCGTCGTCATCGGGGTAGAGCATGAAGATCCACTGGTTCTCTCGAGGCCTACGAGGATGGGCAGCTGAGAAAGTCTTTTCTAAACCTAGGTGCAGGCACACCTAGGTTTAGAAAAGTTTAGATCACTCCAAGATTCATGCCTACAAGTAATTAGCCCAAAAGTATATCAACGAATATCGAATGTATTGTCTATTTCTAGACGATCACCTAGAATACAATGAGACCTACCTGTAGCCATATGTATTGTCCACCTCAAGCTCCCTCTTTTTCACTTTTCCACCTGTAGCGACCCCTCTCTTTTTCACTTTCCCCTTCTGCCTTTACCCAATTCGCCCCCATTTTGGCACAGCGCATCCGCTCTATGGTCCACGGAGACGACAGAGTAAGAGGTGGTGACGTGTTGTAGTCCCGCAATGGAGATGCTCAAGTATATGACACTTTGACATGGAATATTGAGTTATTTCCTTTAATTCCAGCATGCATAATAATGCTTGGTGGCTTTGCATTTTAATTCTTCATGTCTTATGTCTTCTGTACTGGTATGACGACTGCATCTCATTGTTGCGGCCCAACAACGCCGTCAAGCTGGCGCAGATCGACGTGGATCTGACATCCAGCATGGTGGCATGGTTCGGCGACATGAGAATCATAAAGCGGACCATCTCCGGGGAGCTATCACTTTTAACGCTGTTCCTAAACAATGTTAAGTTAGTGGTTGCCGATGGCTTGAGTTTGTTGTTGGGAATAATTAACTATTTGCCACTCTTACGAATGGTGCTAAATTATTTGCCACTGGACCCACATGTCATAGACATATGAGGGCCCACATGTCATAGACAACGAGTGGCAAATAATTAATTGCCACATCTTAAAAGTGGCAAGGAGTTAAATGTCCCGTTGTTGCCAACATCCCTAACTTAGTTCCTTATATTTTTCTTCCCAAGTACTATTGACATGTGGGTCAGCCGTCATCGTAAATAATGTATAATATAGTTGGCTTTAAGTGAACAAGGCGGTTCAAAGTAACACTTGGTTAATTAAGCGAGAGAGAAGGGAAATCTTAGGCCGTACATTTTAGATCTTTAAAAACTTATTTTACAAACAAACTAAAAAAATTTATTCCAACAATAGATCATTTTTATAGCACCAACATCATTGGCGTCGTGGTCCAACATGACAACGCCAATGACATTGGCGCAATCCCCCGGCTTCCCCATGGATGCTAAGTCACTTATATGGAGGGGGACTTTGCCAATATCGTTGGACATTAGTACCGATGACCTATTTGTTAATACTTTTATTACAAATAGGTTCTTTTATCAGTGTCACTGACACTTACATCGATGACCTATTTATAAATATATTTTTTATCACAAATAAGTATTTTTTTTTTACAAATAGGTCATCAGCGCTAATGATATTGGCGTGGCTTAGGCTCTCTTTGGGACAATTCTGGATCCAAGATTTCTTAGAGCTGGGTATTTCTAGCTCCACAAAAGATCTACAATTATGTTGATAATATTTAGATAAATTATTTTGCGCACATTTCAGATGAAGTTTAAAATTTTAAACCATTGTAATTTAATATATAAACTTCAAATCTATCGTGGATATGAGATCCGAAGCCGTGCCAAACAAGATCTTGGCTTTCATGGGAGGCTAGGGGATGCCATGGGATCCATTTTTGAAATAAGTTTTATCACGAAGATGTGCAAAATAAGATCTACCCAAGGAATAATTAATTATTTGCTAATCTTATGAGTGGTGATAAAAGATTTTACCACTGGACCCACATATCATAAACACATGAGGCCCCACATATCATAGATAGTGAGTAGCAAATAATTAATTGCTACATCTTAAAAAGGTAAAAGGTTAAATATCCCAGGAGGCTAGGGGATCCATTTTTAAAATAAGTTTTATTGAGGTATATTTGAAAAATATGTTTCAAATGATAAAAATTGAAAAACACATAAATCTGGAGTACTGGAGTATTTCCCCCGTCCCCTCTGCGTCATTGAAAATCTCCCGTCCCGTTCCGCTCCAGCGCCTGCGCCGATCTCCATCTCGCGACTCGCGAGCAGAGCAGGGTTGGTAGGGGCGCCCATCTCCATCCGGCGAGCAGAGCAGAGCGGAGGAGGTGCGCCATCGTCCCGCTGCATCCTGGTGAGCATCCACATCCTCTTTCTGATCCATCGCTCTCCCCAACCGGAAGTACTTTTGTCTCGAATTTGCTTGTGTTAACCTTAATACAAGTAACAGTCTGTTTGTTCAACCCAAATGTTGGATCAGCCCCCGACACGCATCCTCTCTCAACCCTCTCTGCCCATACCATTTTCTCTTTGCCTTCACCTTGTCTTCTCCCCTGGATCTGGCAGTTTTTCTCTTAATTCGCCTTAACCTTCTCTAGATCCGACCCTGACTAGCAGCAGCAGTTTGTTTCCAAGAAATTAAAAAAAATATTTTGCTGGTTGCAGTTTTGAGCCTGGATCTTGCCAAACAAGTGGTTGATCTTACTGCTTTCGGTGGCCGTGTCTCCTCCACAGGAAGGAAGGCACCGGGGATCTAGAGGAGGCCATGGGAGAATTCTCCAAGGTAAGTGGATTATCATTTGTTAATATGTAGTTGCTTGGTAACCGGTTTTTGCAAAATGTACTGGGTGTTAATTACTAGCGGTGGAGATCTGGTCATCATGAATGAGTGAAACTATTATTACTGCGGCAATGCCAAACATGCCAGAGTATGGTTGTAATGTTTTGTGTGAAGATCAACCTTAATATTGAATGGCAATGTTAAATCTCTCTTGTATGGAGCTAAGGAGCTTGAGTACATGTTAGAATGCTCGTTAATCCTGTATTACATATTTACATGTCGAAACTAAAATGTGGTAATCGAAGCTTTTTGTTAAGAAACACTATTATATGAGAAATGGAACCCAGTAGGATTGCTATTAGATATGATATATTCAATCCATTTGCTTGGGTGTTCAAGTGGCCCTTATCGATCCAGTTTATTGTTTTTTTTAAAAAAAAAATACATATCATTTATTTTTATTTTTGTACTCTTTACTGAATCAGCATTCTTATTTGATTCATTCTATCAATGTTTAACTTTGTTTTTCCATGCAATGATGCTTTTGTTGATGAACATGAAATGCAGCATTAAGTAACTTTTTCTGTCCTTTGCACAAGCTCATGTAATGATTCATGATTGTCCATTTTCGTTACACAGGAATCTTGCCCTTCTGTGAAGAACATTTTGCTTCTGGATTCTGAAGGGAAACGTGTTGCCGTGAAATACTTCTCGGATGATTGGTCTAGTAATGCGTCAAAGTTGGCCTTTGAAAAGTCTGTCTTTACTAAAACTCTGAAGACAAATGCACGCTCAGAAGGTATTTCATTCTTAGCTTTGTTGCATGTGTTATCCCTCCATACCATGGCACATGCTTTTGCCACTTTGACAATTTGGCACATCACACATTCTGCTTCATGAATATAGCCTAATATGTCGTACTGTCATTATATAGAGTGGATTCATATTTGACACCTTTAACTGAAATTTCACACACATCTAGATCCAGTCTTAAGTTGAGCCCATCAATCATTATACTGCTTATATTACTCTGTAAGACGCTTGCATCTCCTTGGATGTTCATTAGAACTGGATGTGCTTTAAGTCTCACTCCAAAACATTTTAGTAGGAAACTCAAATTGTTTTATCCGTTGAATGTAATGGATCGGTCAGGTTAACCAAATGTAGTACAAGATACATGTCAGTTTTCTGTCTTTCGACATAAACAGGAGGGAAGATCCCTTCCCTACTGAAAATATATTAATAAAAGGATGTATGTACAAGGGAGAAGAAAGAATATACAAAGAGCAAAATATAGACTACTCAGCCATGCTTGTTAAAAAAAAAACACACCTAGCATTTACTCCCAAGGATAACTAAAGCAAAATACCTTGGATTCCCTTTCCAAGCTTTCAAGGAAAGATATCCTTCATATAAAATGATACTGTTTCAATGGTTTGAAATCATCCAGCAGTCTGTTATGATTATGTTAGTTTGCTGTTGCTAGCAACTCATTTTTATGAACAAAAATCTTCATATTTATGCTCAATGTTATAATTATGTCTCGATATATCCACTTTTCTGATCTTTATTCTTTAGTTGAATTTGGAATTTTCCTTTGATACCTGTTTTTGGTTCTCTCCAGCTGAGATAACATTGTTTGATGGCTATATTGTCGTTTATAAGTTTGTACAAGACCTTCATTTTTTTGTCACCGCTGGTGATGATGAGAATGAGCTCATTATAGCAAATGTACTACAGGGCTTCTCTGATTCTGTTGGTCTTTTACTCAGGTATTGTACTTCTTCCAGTATTCCACATGAACTTGTATTTTGTTAATGTTGGTAAGGCTGTTTCTTTAAAGTCAGCTTACTGTGCTTTAGGGGTGATGTTGAGAAGAGGACTGCACTCGAGAATCTGGACTTGATACTTCTCTGCATCGATGAAATTGTAGATGGCGGGTAATGGTTTCTTGTGATCTATGCTACATTTGTACCACCTGTTTCTTCTAAAAAATCACATGCAAGCATTCCTGACTATTATACTTTTTTTTTTCGTACACACGCTGTTGCATGTTTTTTAATTAAGTAGTATCTGATATTCCATTTTATTTATTTGTTTGAACTTTTTTTAAACATGTAAATATACTGTCATAAAATATGTTATGCTCATAAAGGCAAACATCAATATCTGTTGTGTAATATCAATTTTTTTAAGATGGAAAAGAAGGAAGAAACTGTTCATTGTGTTCTTTTGATGCATAAAAACAGCACAACAGATTGTCTGTAGAGACTTAGTTTGACATGCCATTAGTAAGCCTAAATTGCACATGAATGTACTATGGTTGTAGCTATTAGGTCAGAATAACCGATGGAACTGTAACTCTTGACAAATGTGGGCAGATACAAGAGAAGCATAATATTTTAGATAGGTGTTGTCATTTGATGTCAAGTTGACAACCTTTTGCATAATGACAAACGCTGATGTCTGAAGCTATTGGGAAGTTTCTGCCCGAAAAACCATTTTATGCTTAACTAGTTCATGGTGATAACTTTAAATGTTCTGTGAGCATCGTTGCAGTATAATCCTTTTGTCTTCCAAGAACATACTTCTAGACTAAGGAGAGATAAAAAAATATTGCATTATATTCAATAAATGCATATAAGAAAGTTGGATATTTAATAGGAGTAGTAAATGATTAGCACTGCCACATAGATTTTTTGCTGATGTGGAGGAGAGAGATTAAGATCATCTATTTACTAAACAAACGACTTGGGGCAAAAGATATGATATCAGAGCGAGAGCTTGTATTGCTTCGAGGAAACTAGTGCCAAAAACATGTAAAATTTTGAGCACTGAGTACTACCTCCATCCACGAATGAGAGGACGCCGTAGTATTTATTTTGTACCTATTGCTTATAGACAGAACTCTTTGTATGAGTAGTCTCTCATCTCTCATAAATTGTCTTCTGATGTGGAGGACAGTAGAAACAACTACTTTCTCATCCTTGTACTGCTGTACATTCCCTGAAGTTCTTTCACAACTTACTCTTGTGGACAAAACCGTTTAAAAGCATACATGGGGTGTTGGGAAAAAGCATGATCGCTGCCAATTTCATGTATTAAGGCCGCAGCTCTCTTGTGAAGCTGTAGTTTCACATGCCATCCTGTTTGTAAATATAAACTGAAACCATTAGTCCTCCTGCAGCATAATTCTGGAAACAGATGCAAATACCATTGCCGGGAAGGTTGCAACCAATGCTGTTGATGGTTCTGCCCCCTTCTCTGAGCAGGTATTTCTTTATCATTCGGAGAAAATTTGCTTTTCTAGTTCCATAATCTCATTAATTTTCATGGCCTATTCTCTGCAGACGATATCTCAGGCTTTAGCCACTGCTAGGGAGCACCTTGCAAGATCTCTGCTCAAGTAAATCATTTATCTTTTGACTCCTTAAAACTTCTCTGCGTTGAGGATTGGGCGAGTGTACGTTGAAGCATGTAATTGTTACCTTTTACTCATAATAAAGTGTAATTGTGACGGAAAAAATAGTTGAATATGATATAATACTTGTACTCAGATTTATCTCATCAAGTGCTAATGATAGTTTCCATGATTGCTTCTGCGTTGCAATTTCTCCCCAAGTGTTATACTCCCTCCCTCCGTCCTAGTACTAGATGTAACACATCTTACTATTACGAATCTAGATATACCTTTGTCCAGATTCATTATACTAGAATGTGTCACATCCTGTCTTAGATTCGTTTTTTTTCGGGACGGAGGGAGTAGAAAATGAAGAGTAGAATGGTTTGTATTCCCTCCGTTCTATATTTATATTGTCTGGTGTTTTAGTTCTGTCGTATGTCAAATTTCTGACTTTAACAAAGTTCACAGAAAAATAGGCTAACATTTGTGTTCCTTAAAATTCACTAACAGAGAGTATTTAGGATACCATTTCCTTTTTCAACTTATTTTTTGAACTCGTTTTGAGTTTCCACCAAAATTTTCAGTGCGGAAAGTACCTATATTGAAAGGGTTCCAATGTTGAAGATCTCTACAAAGGAAGTTTAATTGTACAAAGTTTCAAGGGTTCCAATGTTGAAGATCTCTACAAAGGAAGTTTAATTGTACAAAGTTTTCACAACGAAAATCTGACATACGATGTAATTCATTCATCGCAAGTCCACAAGTGCGCAAAACGCCGGAAGGTTTGCAACTTGCAATTAAGCTTGTCGCTGGACGCCGGATAATAAAGGAAAGAAAGCAAGCGATGAGCCCGACGCACCACGCACGTGGGCTGGAAACCAGTTCGCGGGAGCCTTTCCGCTGACATAAACATATTTCACCATCACAATCGTACACAAACCAAGAAACTTCCACAAGCGCTATGGCAACACGCAGAATAGGAACAAAGGTTTTACCACTACACATGAGGTCACTAGACCGGTTGCAGACTTGCAGTTGGATACAGAACCGTTCTAAATGCGCCCTTCTGTTGTAGTAAGCTACTACAACAGAAATAACTTACAGCGCTCAGCGAATTACCTTACTTCTGAACACCTACCTTCCATTTCCTGAGACTCAGACGCTGGGACATCAAAACCTGCTAATTACGGCATGTAGATGTCGAGTTACTCATGGTGGATGATCCGACCGCGGACATGGTAGTCACCGATGATAAAACCATACTCTGTCACCCTGTGACCGCCCAAGTCATCATCGTCCTGATCACCATCATCGTCATCGTCCTGATCACCATCATTGTCGTCATCCTCGTCATTCCCATGGAAGGGCCATTGAGGAACTGCTGCGGGAAATGGAAGTGGGAGCGAATCTAGTGATGGTGTCTCAATAAAAGTCTCATACTCATAGTCCTTGGTTGAGTCGTTTGGGAACCTCACATCCTTCAGCCTTGCACACTTTGCTCTCACTTCTGCATCCACATCGACGTTGAAGCACTGACGCAAGTCAAGGGACTCAAGGTGCGGGCAGTTGTCAAGGATGGCAGCAAGTGCATTGTTGCGGAGCCGATTGGCAAAGATCTGAAGATGGCGTAGCCTGTGCATGCTGCAGGCTATTCCAAGGGCATGGAAGTTATCTCTGAACTCATCAAACTGAACATCAAACCAACGATGGTTCAGTCGCAGACACTTCAGGTTCGGAAATGCTTCGCCAACAGCCTTCAGCAAAATACTGATGGTGCAGGTAGTGAGCTCAAGTTCCTCAAGACAGGGAGATGTCTTGCCAACAGCAACCAAGCCTTTCTCTGAGATTTTTATGCAATCACGTAGCCGAAGACTTTTCAAGCAGCTAGTTCTGCACATATTAAAACATAAGTTAGAGAAATCGACATTAATCAACAACCTGACAGTAAGAACAATAGGCTAGTTCCCTAACAAAAAAATAAAGGCACAACTTGTAAGTAGAGACTGTCAATATTTGTGGTTGTGAAATAAAATCACAGAACAAAGTGATCCTATGTCAAATATAGAAGCATTCAGTAATGCTAAATTGCTAACAGAACTCATGAACTCAAGCATGTTCATTAGTTCAATATAATGCTCGAGTTCCCTCTATCCTAAATCCATGTATGATCATGAAACGATTGGCATCTATCTATGAGCAACGCAATTGGCAGGTTAGATCCAATAAATAATAGTAAATCAGTGTTGAAAATTGTAAACAACATCTGAAACCAAGTATTAAGTTTTTTTTTGGAAGAAAAACAGCAAGCAAGGCTCCTAGAGAATATTTAGAAACATAAGGGCTGGGTTGGAGAAAAACAATCTAGTTGATTCTACAGATTCCCAATGCACACTTTGATCAGTACACTAAGCTGGTCGTTAAGTCTGAATATATGCAGACTAACCTCTCTTCTTTGACACCAAAAAAGCCTAGTTACACAAAACTCATGTTAAAGACCTGCTTACATATACGATATCACCTCTAACCCCCATAAGGTTAAAGTACATACATTTTATCTGAAGGATTGCACACACCTATGCTGAATAGTTTAGATTCTTCCTTTGGCCTTACACTCTATGACAGCCTAGCTGAGTCTTACTAGAAGAAATAAATTCCACTTATGTTTTCCACTGAAACAATATAGTCAAATTTGCATAAAAGTCTTTATCTGAAAGAGAATTCCTCCTATCCCATTGAATTAGCTTCCCTTATATGGCACTACAAAAATTGTGCCCATCCTATGCTAAACATTTCCAACGTTGTTCCCTTATTTGCCACTCAAGTCAACACCATTAGCTCTAGGTACCATTAGAAGACATCCCGTGTCATGCCCAACCTTTTCACATTGGAATCATCATGTCGCCAGAAGATGAGGATGCAAGGACAGCCACAGCTAACTCCAAATACTGCTTCGTCCGCATTGTCCAGCTCTGATGGACTTGAAGTCGGTCATCAAGGTACCAGTGCTGGCACAGAAGCAGCAGGATTGTCAGCTTCCCTGCCAGGGTTGGCCTTAACTGACTTGACAGGCTGCGAACGAACAGAAATAGTCTACTGTGCATTGAACAGAAAGAGGAAGAGAGGAGAAAGGAGTGGAGAAAGGAGAAGAGAAAAGATGTCTTGCCATCTGACCTAGGTTAAAACCAAGATATAGGCAAGAAAGGAAAGATAAAAATGAACTAATTGAGAAACGGAAGAATTACAAACTTTTTATGGCAAACAAGGGAACTAGATAGCATTCAATGGCCTAGGAGGAATTTCGCCATCAATTCTCATCTTATGCATATGCCATGCAGGGATTCCAATTTCTGTTCGAAATTTCCTAAATTTTGGTAATTTCACTTCCCTCCGGCAAGCAAATATCTCACCCAAATTGTTTTTCTTTTTCCAAATTTTTGTGAATTTGGTCAAAATTTCTTCAAGTTCAGTCATTTTGTTAAATCTTCAAATAATTTCGGGAAAAGAAGTTCCAAATCATCCGAAAATTTTGGTTGCACTGAAATTCCGGTTCAAACCGAAAGTGAAAACCTTGATGCCATGGCACCTTGGAAGAAAGGAAGTTCATAAAAAAATGATTTAAAAATAAACAAATGAAATATAAAAACAACTGATGATATCAAGCAGGACCCTACAAATTGGGGTCCATTGGAAATGATTACAGACAACATAATATCAGGTCATATAAAAAGCTAGCATAGTTAAATAATATTTTCTGTTCAGTGGGGTAAATTATAAATTATAGATATCAGGATCAATCTCAAGTTTCATCACCCATAATATTTGCCAGAGATGTTAGCTCAAAGTTAGGGTTAGCCATGGAATTATACTAGAGATCTCAAGAGAGAATTTTCGTAGCAAGTATCATATACACCATGGGATTATTAGTGGTCACTTTTGTGAGACAGGAGTGTGCATTCCGGAAATTTTCTGGCTCTATACCAATAAAAGACTCCACAGCTCCATATCTGTAATCTTTACAAGACAACTACCAAATCTAAGTCATGTCATATCAATATAATCATCTAAGAAACTGGTATTTGCTTTTCAATTATACTTTACTTTGTTTGACTGAGTACAATATAGAGATCTGAGGCATATAATGCAATAGTTCAGGCATTCTAAAAAAAGTTAGCCAGAAGTATTGATAATAAGGTGACAAAAAATGTTCATTAAGGAAATGAAACCCAAAAAGAAAAGAAGAAATAACCAAACAATCAAGCTATCGAAAGGTTAAAAGAATTAGCATCGAGACATCTAATGATTTGCATAAAGGCATAAAACTTCTTTTATTATTACTATTAATTGATCATATAACAATGTTTGATTATTCTTTTGTGCCTGGAATAAATTTGATAGCAATATGATGGCCTCGGTTCAGTCCAGAACTAGTGAAACAGAAACCTAACTGGTATATGTAGTATCAATGGAGAAGACGACAATGCAGTTGTCGAGCATGAATGCAACACAAGATCCAAATTTAATAAAATGGACTGGTGACGCCGAAAACAAAAACAAATCAACCCAGCATCAATACCTGGGGAGACAGAACCGTGCTTCAAAAAAGTCTGCAAGGTGTTATGTATGCTCAAATCCCTGCTAACCCTTAACATGGCCAACCCATAAGGCATCAACAACATGTGTACTTAGAGCCACTAATCCACTACAGTATATTTTCTTATGCTTTGTTTGTGTCGTTGTGGCACATTGCAGCGTTTTGCTGCAACTTTATAATGATGCAGTATGCATAAAAACTCCAATCTATATATACTCCTTGCTCTACTTAAATCATCATACCGTAAAATCATACAAAACCCCGCTAATCTCTAATAAGAAAAACACAATCAGAGCGACCAAATAACACTGTAGATTAAACCCTAAATCTCCCGAATTTTCACAACCCAATATCGTCCAGATTCCAAACCCCAGGCTTTATAGAAACAAAAAGAAAAAGAAGGGGTAAAAAATGAAAGACCATAACCTCTTGGCGACGTAGAGGAGGAGCTCATCGGTGACGAAGCGCTCGGCGGCGAAGTGCTCGAGGCGTCCGCCGGCGCGGTCGACGGCCGCGCGCGCCATGGCCTCCATGTCGACGGTGGGGTCGAAGCAGGCGGTGAGGTCCACCCGGCGCCAGAGCCGCGGCTCGCGGGTGGCCGCGCGGAGCCAGCTGCGGCACACCACCCCGGCGCCCATCAGCACTTCCGCCGCGCCCAGCCGCTCGAACACCGCCAGGACCGCGTCCACCGGGAGGTCGGCCCACTCCGGCGGAGGAGGCGGCGGCGGCGGCATCGATCGGGGAAGGAGGGTTTCGGGAGGGTTATTCTCGCGTAAAGGCGGGGACGCCGAGAGAGAGAGAGAGAGAGAGCGAAGCCGTTTAGGCGCGGAGGCGGAGGGTGCTACGCGTCCCTCTCACGGAGAGATCGGTGCGGCCGCTTCACTTGTGGCTTTGTGGGTTGTGGCAGAACGCGTTGAACGTTGTTGGGACACGAGCTGACCGAAATGTGAAGGGTCAAGAGTCAAGACCCGTCCGATGACGACGTCCGATGGTTTTCGTCCGTTTGATGACTGCTAGTGTTCTTACAATCTTACACCACCTTTCCCGACTCATAATTTTTAGGAGGAGCTACAGCATGTATTTATATTGTAAGTTTATAAATTACATATGTAATTTTAGTGTATTTACAATGTAAGTCTTTAAATTACATATGTAAATAGTATATAATTTAAGTGTAATTAGTATGTAATTTCAATTTAAGCCAACATCTTTGCTCGATCAGTTGGTTAGGACCGCTGGATAAGCCACCGGAGATCATAGGTTCGATTCTTTGCAGTACAATTTTATTTTCGTCAACCAAAATAGCACGAATCTTACAGTTGATCTAATGGATCAGAAATCGACATATTTCTAAAGAAAAATGCGTCGACAGTTTTTTAGCCTTTCCGTATTTTTTCCACACGTACACTTCCCAATCTACTAAACGTTACGTATTTTGTAATATATATATATATATATATATATATATATATATATATATATATATATATATATATATATATATATATATATATATATATATATATGTATATGTATATGTATATGTATACTAGCAAAAATACCCGTGTGTTACAACGGGTGAACACAATTTTAATTCTTGTAATGGGAAAAAGGGAAAATGCATTTGTCCTCAACAGTACATATTTTTTTATCCTTTGTGGGATGATGGTAAACTGCACATCACCATAGCGGTTGAGGGCTAACTTGTCACACGCCTTGTCCTGACACCATCTAAGAGTGACACCGTTAATTTAAATATTTGTTATTGAGAAAAAAAATTTTGTTGATATTTTTCTGATTATTTAAAATTTTTGTTGTTGAGAAAAAATAGTTGAATATCGGCCATTTGATGATGGTAGCATATTTGAACTAGAGAATTTTTAAAATAAATAATTAAAAAGGATAGTAGAGCATCGCATCAAGCCGCTAGCCTGCGTCGCACCAGCTCCAATGGAGCGTCGGAGTGGATGCAATGGAGACGCTCGCGTGCATTGCCGAGGTCTCGACGGTTCGTGGAGAGTGTCATTGATTACACCGACACAACCGCATCGCAAGGTAGGGCACAGGGAAGGAGGGGGTGGCTAGCAGGACCGCCCACCGTCGACATCATCGCACCCTGACCTCCTCTGCAGCACCAGCGGTGCTCTGACTGCTATCACCGCCATAGCAAAGCAAGATGATGCAAAGAGAGAAGGAAGAAGACAAAGAAGTATATAAATTTAGACAGGTAAATGGGTTTTTAAGTGAAACCTTCAAAAATGTTCTCATCGATTCATCACTTCCAATAAGTATATAAGTTAAATCTACTATTAGTTAGGCTGTGTTATTTCCCCATGTTCTCTACTCCCCTTTCTCGTTTTCCACGTGCACACATTTTAAACTGCTAAACGGTGCGTTTTTTTGCAAAAAAAAATATATGAAAGTTGATTTAAAAATCAAATTAATCTATTTTTTATTTTTTAATAATATTTAATTATTCACATTCTAATAGACTGTTCCGTCATGCATGACACATGGTTCCCAAGTGGAATCGGCGAACACACCGTTCTACAAATAGTACTACTTTTCATCTCAAATTGAGTGAGAAAAAAAAACAGACAAGGCAGAGAGTACCGAGAGGAAAAAAGAAAGAGAAAGAAAACCAGAGCACCACGGCACCACCAGATAAGTCCCAAAAGCACTTTCTCCTTCACTTTCCCCACCACCTCTCCCCCAATGTCCTGTACTCATGTACTCCTGTTTCCCCCAATTCCTTCCCACCACCGGCCACCTCTAGCGTATCGCCTGGTCCTTCCATGCCATGCCTGCTGGTCCCCCAACCCCCCATCTCCAAGCTCTTTCTCTCCCTGCTGGCTCCCCATCTTCACCTCGTGGCGGCATCTGGTCATGCACCTCGGCCACAGCGCAGCTCGAGCAGTCGACGGGGTGGAGTGGCCTCGGCAGCGGCACGGATTGGACTCGGCGACGGTGGTATACTTCCGGTCAGTCTCTCGTCCGGATCTACTTCCGACAAGCCTCTCGTCCGGATCTAGGGCCTTGCAGCGGTAATCACTGGATCTGGGGTCTCCGCGGCTGGATGCCCTCTCCTGCTTCGTCGTTGCGGTGGCAATCACCAGATCTGGGGCCTCTGCGCCTGGATTCGGTTGATGGGAGTTTTGGAGCGAGGATGGAGGTGTGTTTGAGAATAATCACCCCTCGTCTGCTGACTCGTCCCCATCGCCCGACCGGTCCACGGGGTTCCAGGCAACATGCATCGCGGCGTCTCGGCATGGAGGGTGCACAGTGTTGGGGTTCAGCTACGGCAGCTTCGTGGTGTTCGTTGTAAGTTTGTACTAACTATTAGTAATCTTGTCAAATTAAGTTCGAACTAATTAAGGTCGTCCTTTCCACTACTTAATTGAGAATACTTGAACTCAATTCTTATTCTGCTTATAAAACACATTAACTAATTAAGCTCATGTAAAGCATGCACAGCGATGGAACTTTTTGTGAGCAGAAGAAGCAACTTGTTTTTCCCTGTAGACTTTTGAATTGACACAATGTATTCTGTCAAGGTACTGAACCACATCCTTTTGTAGGCCTGCTGTGGGGTGCTTTGTGTTGTGGATAGTGGGCGTGGACCAGAAGCTGATTATGTGTTTTCACCGCGCGAAATTGGTAAGCTCTACGGACTCTTGAACTACTATAAGTTATTTAGATAATCATGAAAAGATACATGTCTGATTAATCAGGTAGTCAATTATCTATTTCTTTGAGGTGATACATAGAAGCATGTCTCTTACACCTTGAGGCATACTGCTCTCACATTCATTCTCTTGGTACGCCAATAGTTCTACTAAGAAATGCTTCCTTAGCTCATATCCATCCTGTATATGCATTTATTTATGTAAGCGAACAAGGTTAGCACTGTATGTGTAAAAAGGTAGTAGCATTTAAATAGTCAATGCTAAGTGTCACGATACTTGCCTTTATAATTGGTAACTGCAATTCTTCATCATTCCATTTGCGCATGAAGAGGGACACAAGATAACCAGATAGTTCGCTAAGAAAAATTTAATTGTTAATTAATTTTGTTTTAGGGAAATAAATTAACTGGTTGTACAATGGAGTTTAAAAGAAAGTTTACCCGTTGTTAATTGGAACATTTGGTAGAATTATTTGACGCCATAGGTTGATATCCTCGTTCCATCTTGACCCAAGGCATGCTTTTGCCATTGCTTTTGGCAAGTGTTTGGCAATCCATAGTAGTTTTTTGACATATCTTGCATTTGGGTTGTTCTCATAAATTGGTTCAAGCGGAGTCGGGTCTAATATATAGACGATTCTGGTATCTTGGTCCAATACGATCAAAATGAAAAATTTATAGAATTCTATTGGCATAAGAATCTGTAAAAGCTAACTGTTAGGATAGAAAAAAATCATGGCCATGATGAGCAAATGGAAGAGAACTTACCAATCTGCATTTTGAAATATTGTAGTCAATCCCAGGCCAATTACAAACTGACTTTGCTAGCCGTTCAGTGTCGAGCTTTTGACGAAAGTTTGGGTGTTGTCCAAAATTGGTAGTCATCTTTGTATATAATTGTGCAAAAATGATATACAACATGAGACAAAGGGGATAATACATGTGATTATAAAGGCATACTCAAAATTGCAAAACGGAATAATACACGTGATTGTAAAAACATACCCAAAATTGCATGTCTAGATAGTGTTTTGATATTGTTCCCTTTATCTTTTTCACCATTTGGATGTCGTCGTATACATGAATCTGTGAATAACATCACATTAGAAGAGAGCGACATATGTAAACATGTATGGTAACAAAACATGATGTTGAAGGCAAAAATATATGAAATACTAACCTGGGTTATTGTCATTGTTGTCGTTGTTTTTGCGATTACGACGAGCCTTCAGCACATCTTCCAGGTTAACACCAAACTTTGGTATATCGGTATGCCAACCCAATTCACCTCTAGGAAAGAATAGTGGATAAGACAATGGATCATAGCATCCATAGTACGACCGGATGCCTTCTATTTCATTGTTTCATTGTTGTTCCCTTGTAGGATTACACTCTTGTCAAATGTCTTTCGTCGCTCATTTCCCTCGACCCAAACTGCAGCCACCTCTGAAGTTATTGGCGCGTTATACGTCCTCTGATCCAACCATTGGTCAAGGTTCAATATCACACGGTAGTCCTCGAGATTCTCGGCTTGCCCCAAACTCCTAAACTGCTCAGAGTATGGATTACCACGTAGAATGTTAGTTATAGTGCTGATTACTTTTTGATCTTGTTCGTATAGATCTGGCCGACAATGACGGTACCGATGCTCTAGGGTAGGATCATCATCGTAAAAGTACAATTCCAGACGCTTAGGGTTTGAACCATCAGTACCGAATGAACGTATATTGTGATACATCTGGCCATGAGCTCAAAACGTGTAAATACCACTATTCCTGATGTCAGTTATCTCTCTGTCAAGGTGACAGTAAAGAGATGTGAATGAGAAATGTCCATTGAAAAATCTTATGTTGTTGCGGAAATGTTGGGCATCTGAATCTTCGCTCGTCCACAGTCTCGTGAGTTCAGGAGGTGTGTCTTGATTGGCTAGTTTGATTTGTCCACTTCGGCAACAGAAGCCCTTTGACTCATACTCAAACTTCTTTTTGCACCACAAAATCCACAATTTTCTACGGGTTTCAGCATATGAGTGCTTTGTGGTAAGTTGCTGTACACGATCTTGTCTAGATCAGGGATGCTAGGGCTCTCAGTGATGGCATCGACAACATCTATGATTTGTATGTCCTGATCTTCCTCCCAACCTGGAAAGTTTTAGTGCCAAGATATAAGTTTACGTTTGACATGATGGTGGCGAACAGCGACAAAATTACCTTGATCATCAAGCATGTCGCTTTCCTCATCAGTATCATCGTCAAATATGACCTCACCATCGGCTGCATAAAAAATCAGTACGTGCATATGTAGATTAAGGCCCTAACTGTATCAAATCAAAATAAAATCAAATAGAGATGACAATGTTACCATCATCATTGATGTGACTGTGATGGAGGCTCTACACCATTGGTTCCTTTAGATATTGTAGACATGTTATTGTCTATTGAAAGAAGATGGTTAGTAGTACACCAGGATACATTGCAGTACAACATAAAGTAAGTGTATATAGCTAGGATCCTCACCAATGTTCATTACGCTTGGTTGATTAGAAGGGTCTACGCCACTGACTGGTTGGGCGCTTATGGAAGGATCTTCTAATTCTAACAAGGCAGAAGTACTTTTGTCTCGTCTAACCATGAAGCTTTCGTTGCGACGTGCCATCAATGCATGTCTTTCTCCATGCGTTACACATTTTTTTTGGTGATCTTGTTGGGACAGGGGGTGACATATCCGTCGTGATATACCCAGGGTTCTCCATTGCTATGGAATATTTACTTGGATTGTTGCGCCGTGATGCACGCTTATCTTTGATCCGTTCTATCACAACTTGTTTTTTGTTCAGTTCCATATTTCTATATCTCATCCTTTCACGTGTGTGTTTTTCTTGGATAACTTTTGGGTCTACTGCTGGGTCTTCTTGTTCGGAATGTGCAGTATGCAATGACCCTGGTTGATCACCCCGAAAAGTGATGCAATGTAGTTCATCAGCATTTGCACGGGCCATTGACTCCTTTTTGAGCTTATAGGCTTCACGACGCTTTGCTAGAGTTTCCTGCTTTTCTTTGTCTGTCATCCGCGCATACCGCTCCTTATCTCTGTCTTCTTCTTACATTAGGATCCAAGAGTGGGGATGGTGATGCAGATGGCGTGGTACCAGCATCAAGCATGTGTGATGGAGCTGGTAAGAATAAAAAGTGTATAAGAATTACAAAATATTGGTATGAGAATCTGACATTGACTGCTATAAAAGGTAGGGCATAGCAAAATTTGTCTATCACATAACATGCATGAGTTGGGAGAAATATAGATCTGAGAATCTGCTATTGTTTGGTAAAGACTTGTCTGTGTTATATTATTTTCATAAGAAAACATATAGCAAATCTTCTCTTATCACATACTTTATACTTATTACTGTTTTGCTTTAGGTTGCTGAAGTTTCTGTAGAGATTAGGATGAAAAATGCTAGGAACAGAAAGTTTTCAACCTGCTTCCATATTTATTTTTCAAACTGAAAACGAAATTATGACATCAGCCACTGAATTATTGCATTTTTTTTTCTTGATTGAGTCGGTCTTTAGCACTGAATCGCTAACATTGTTTTGAACACTGAAAATATCTTATTCTGTTGTAGTGCATTTATATTGTGATAGGAACTCAGAAACTTCAACTACCAAGACAGGAGATCAAGATGTCTAGAATGGTTAGTAATGCCGCATTCCTCTAAATATTTTTTGTTGGGAGTTTATGAAAACTGCTTAGAATATTTGATATTGTCCTTCCAAATCATTACACAAATGCATCAAAATATGTTGTGTCTTTGTTGATGGTTGCTGATGAACTTATGGCCCTGAGAATACTTACAAATGCATTTTGTATGTTCAGGCATTGTGAATTTGTGATCCTCAATACAATTGAAGTTGTTCACGGAGCTGCTCTTGGCACGATGGCTTCTTTGGTGATGGAGCAGAGCTCTTAGAATGTCTTTTGATCACACCACAAGAACGAATTTTATTTGTGGTACCAGTTTTGTTTGTATATATAGGAGGATAGGATGTATGCAGCGTTCTTGTGGTGTTCGGATGTAAAATTGGGGGTTCTTTTGGTGTTCGGAGAGCGATTTGGGTGGGAATCGGAGTCGGAAAAAAAATTGCTACGGATGCGATCTGAGAAAGAGAAAAAAACCGTGCGGGGAAGAGCGATCTGGGTGGGAATCGGAGTTGGAAAACAAAATCGCTACGGATGCGATCTGAGAAAAAAAAACTTTGCGAGAAAAAAACCTGCGCTAAAAAAACCGTATGCTATTGGGAGTCGGAAAAAAAAACATGCGAAAAAAAAACTGTGCGTCCTATTTCCAATTGTTGCGACGAGCGATTTTTTTTGGTAGTCGGACAAAACAAACCGGGCTTAAAAAAAACCGGTGACGAGCGGATTTTCTGGGAGTTGGATAAAAAAACCGCTCAGACAAAAAAACCGGGCGTTAAAAAAACCGTGTGAAAAAACCGGGCGATTTTTTTTGGTATTCGGACAAAAAAACCGGGCTTTAAAAAAACCGGTGATGAGCGGATTTTTTGGGAGTCGGATAAAAAAACCGCTCAGACAAAAAAAACGGGCGTTAAAAAAACCGTGTGAAAAAAACCGGGTGCTATTTCCATATGTGGGTGACGTACGGAACTTTGGGCAAAAACATCTTAAACTTTTATAATAGGTAAAGATATAGGTAAAGATAAAGATAAAGATAAAAATAAAGATATATATATATATATATATACACACACACACACACACACGCACATATGAAAATTGTTTTAAAAAACCATATTAATCTATTTTTCAAGTTTATTTTAGGTAATGCTTACCCCTCCGTCCTATAAAAAACCTAATCCTACCAATGAGGTTCATAGCTAGAGTTGGTTTTTTTTTTACAGTGTAGTAATTAATCATGAGTTAATTTACCGCTCCGTTTTACGTGCGGAGGGGAGAGGTTCCTAACCCCTCCAAAAGAACACAACCCTGTCTATCCGAAGGAATCCTACCGGGTCTCGGTATATGACACTATTGGAATATGCGAGCATATACACCCAAGGTTTTAAATCTCCCACTATAGCTGCACTATCTCCCGCTATAGCTGTTTGAGAAGGGTTCTTACTATTTGCTCTCATATACGATTAACCGCTATAACTCTATTTAGCCCGCTATAACTATCACTATAGCTGTTTGAGAAGCTAACGCTAAATGTCTTAGCCCGCTATTTAAAACATTGTATACACCACAACTTTACAATATTACTATTTTTTTTATTTTCACGTTACAAATTTTAATAGAACATTACTAGCAAGATGCTAATACATTACAAGAAAAAAAACTAAAACATCATAGTCGGTAGATAGAGAGGTGGCACTTAGAAGAAGAGAGAGGGTGGTCATTTGACTTCAGGGATCAATATCTCGTGTTGTCTAGCATATTGGATGTTAAGATAGCAAAATTAAACTATAGTTCTATTTTAGTTGCTCGAATTGTTTGATTCTACCAAGCAAACAATTCACATATCCTTCCATTATTTGCAAGGATATGTGAATTATCTTGCTAAACTGACACCAATAAGATCATGGAACAAAATAAAGAACCTAAGTTTAGACAGTGAGGCTGGAGCGTGGAGACACAGTGATGGTCTTGCTAAATCATATTGTCTACGGTCACGTTGCTGCTAACCTCTTCCATGCCTGCACCACCACTTTAGGCATCACAAGCTCTCCCCTTAACTAGTGATAATTGATCCTTCCAAGCTGACCTTACTTACCCATAGCGGCAATCGCATCAACCAGTGTTATGCTTACTAGTTGCTATTGTCATGCATGACTGCACACGAGGATTACCATAACAAAGATGAAGTAACAGGACGGAAACAAATTGGAAAGAGGTTGCCAGGGCCATCGCAAATTACTCAACGAACATATTATTAGAAGTCAATCATGAGACCGTCTCGCGCACGTGGAAGAGGAGTCGGGAGAAGGACTTCACCGCGCGTGGGACTGCATGTCTTAGCGATCTGGGTGTGGATCTTCATGCAGTAAACACGCACGTGGGAGCGACCGATTTGGACTTCACTTATGACACGGGACATGGATGCACAACGCGCATGATGGAAGAGAGTCGGACAACAGAAAACGTGTGCCACAGTCGTCGCAGGCGTAATCACCCCGCATGGCTGCTGAATTGAACACGATTACCCCGCGCGACTGAAATGTGAATCGGACCCCGATGTAATCATGACACTCGACATAGCAAACCACTGGTGAAGACACTTTCAATTTTTATAATAATACAGATTGGATGTGTGTTGGTTAAGAGTAAAATATACTAGCAACGCTTAAACTTGTAAACAAGTGTTTCTAAGTTCACAAACTTGTAAATCACACATTTAGACTACTGAACTTGCTAAATGTACAATCCCCGGTCCAAAGCACCATTTGACCGCAACACGACATGTGGACATCCAGACTGGCGGTCTCGCTCGCGTGCACCATGTGTCATGTGTGACACCACCTGCATTGTGAACCTTTTCTTTTAGGCCCCTATCTTCTTTCTCATTTGCTCTCTTCCTCCACCGCTCGCTTCCGTCGCCCTCTTTTCTCCCAAATCGCAGCGAGGTGTCGCGACTAGGGTTGCAGCACCATTACAACGAGTCAACGAGGTTGCAGGGAGGTGTAGACATGGTGCGGTGAGGCTGAGCGAGGTTCGGCGACTGGGTTGAAGAAAGAGGTTTGGCAGCGGCGGGGCAATGGCTAGCCCGAGTCGGAGCACAACACAATCGGTATAGCAAATATCTGGACAGGTAAAAGCTTTGCATCTCTAATTCGATACAAGGAGAGGCCATTTTGATTACTCGCCTGTTGTTCTATACAATGCAGCTCGGAGGCTGCAAGATGGATTTTATGGAGCTACTAGAATGTAGATGGTGGACCGCAATCTGGCTTCTGGGCCAAATGTGCTAAATCAAGGTGATGACACAATATGCTAGACACAAGAAGAGCATCATCGAGCATCGTAAGTAAACTGACTTTATTTGAATAACCAAGTGGTAGGACCATAGGAGGAGTACATTAGGGGGAAACAACTGGACAAAGCCAACCAAGGAGCGATTCCTTCTACGCTTCTACCGTTGATGGGTACGTGGTTTGATCCTGCCAGTAGTGGATTTCAAATTAACTCTAGGGGAGAACTCCACCCGTCGAATATACTAGGAAACTGCAGAGCTCCCTTGCAGCCGACTAACATTTCCTAGCTCCTACCATTGAACTCAAACGTAATGTAACACAAATTACACGACGGAAAAATAGTACCATTAACCATGTTTATTAACTACTCTACTGTGCTTCACAGAAAATCAACTGCGAAGCAAATAATCATATTAGGCCTTATTTGGTTTAGAGGGGATTGAAGATGATTGGAGGGTATTGAGGGGGAATAATTCCACACCATAATAGGTGTGCAATAAATCCCCTCCAATATCTCTTTCACAGGGATTAAATGAACAAGGCCTTAGAGATAATAGAAATAGTTTGAAACAAAACATTGGCAGAATGCATCACGCGGTACTTCGTTAATCTACAGAAACCGACGCAGATGTAAGAACATGAATGATCCAAATGGCAGCATACCATATAATCAAGATAATTCATAACTCCAGCTTGACACCCAAAACTGACAGAAATCGGTCTGCAAAGTGTGCCATAATGAACCCAAAAATGCACGTTGCAACACGCAAATACCTAGGTAAGGATCAAATTGAAAGAACGGTATGTAGTAATGATTAATAAGATGTGTCACATCCATCCAAAATCTCTTTTATTATGGGACAGAGAGTACTCAGGTACTGCCAAAACTCTGAATTGACTGTGTTTTGGGCGCCTTTTCTCAAGTACGCGATAAAATATTTTGGTAACGAACTTAAATGATGGCTGAAATCCAATAGTATTGCTATCGTTTAGGATTTAGCTAAGGTTTATTTGGGCATTAATCCACGCAAGCCCTTAACAGTTATATGCACATTTCCATTATTGGTTGTGCCGTGCTTTTATCGAGCTCGTCTTCACTCGGTCAAAGGTTTACCTTAACCTCGCTACGGGCAATATACCTTTAACAAATTAAATGATAGCTTTACCTTTTAATCGATAGCTTTACTTTTTAAAACGAGAGCTTTACCTTTTATTTGATTCCCTCCTTTTAGTCGGGTACTAACATCTACTTTTTATGAGGCAACTTGCAGGGCATAAATAAAGTTCTTGATTTTACTGATAAACTCTTAAGGGTAGCACAATTTGTGTGTTCTAAAACAGGTTACCGCTGTTATATCGCTCGATAGAAGACACTACGACCCTGTTTAAAAGTAAGGTAGAATCATAAAGCGACTACCTCACACCTGCGAAATAGACGCATCTGAGCGGGGGTTGTTTTCTTAAACGAAATGCGCTACAAACAGAGGCCAAGGATATAATATATTTTTATTATTAAAAAACAATTATATGCACATATAGTAGACTCAGTAATGTTTGCCTTCTCATTTTGCGGCCAAACATAGAAGGTATTATTATTACCAGAACATCAGCTAGGGGTCAACTGGACATTTTTATTAACATCAGCTACTTGGTCAAGGCAAGGCCTGGTCCCTTGGGCCTTGTGGCTCATTTGTATTAACAGAATTCAAGTCTTTGCTCGAAATGATTTGAACGGACGCAACATGGTCCAAGATTATAAAGTATAAACATACTTATAGATCCATAGTTACAAAAACATGCAAAATCCCCTTTCTTCCAGTTACTGATGTTCGGTAAGAGCTCCATATGAGAATTACAAGCACCCCAGCTATCCATACTTTACACGGTTACACCTTGTTTACAGTTTGTTTGTACCATGTCCAGGCAGGAAGCCATATCAATTCTATATATTTCTTTTCTTTCTTTCGCAAACAAATGAAAACACGTTTAGCTACAGTACAAAGGGGCGTTGGCAGGCTTGTAGAGGAACGTCTTGACGGTGTGAGAGTTTCCTGAAGGCTTGCTGTATGTGAACTTGACCCCAGAGTGTGTATCACCCCTCTTAGTGCAATGCTGGTGAAAGCTGCTGATGGGCCTTGCCAAGCATGACTCCCAACGGTCACTCTCTGGCATCGTCTCCGCAACAATGTAGACACCCTTGGAGTTTGTGAAGGCCTGGTAGTTGATAACTTCACCAGATCTCGTGATGCAGAGGACGGCAACCTCGGCACCTATACAAGGTACAAAGACAAGCAAGAGGAATGGGAGAGTAATAAGCTTTTAGTACTTTGATTACAGTGTACAGGTAAACATAAGTGAGGAATGAAAAGTGAGGAAAACAAAATGAAATGCACAAAGTGGAAGTACTAAACAATAGGACCACATGTATATGCCTGCGCACCCCCCAAAAAAAAACAAAGCTAGCTTGTGGTAAGGCAGCTACCAGTCTACCATTGTACTTGTACTAGTGTTTGCTGACTAGGTGGAAAGTGGAAACAAGGAAAAACCCTAGCAGGTCTATCTGTTCAACCGGCAGACTTTATACTCAAACCAACAGGTTTCTAGCTATCGCCAAAAGCAAGCCCCATTGCACTTGCCCCTCCATTAGAGCTTTTATTATTGAAGAAGTAAATTTCACAAAACTGCACTACCATTGGGGAAAAAAGAATCACAAAATCACACTTTTACACAAAATCTCTGAACCACATGAGCCTTTCTATTGCCGTAATATCCTACTGGCTGGCTCCACTCGTCGGTTTCACAAACTCATCAAAAATTTTGCTAACATGGAGGTTCTTGCAACACTGGATAAGTGCTAGCATGTCATCATGATTGCTTGGCATCTGGGGTTGAATAGGAGGGATTTTTAGTAGTTGTAGTCCCAATCCCACCCCACCAAGCAATAGAGCGCCTATGAGTTAATTTGGTATTGCAACAACCTCCATATGACATAAATGGAAACAGAAACATATCCTGAGACCAAGAAGTCACCCTAACCTACTAGGCCTGCCGAAGATGATGGCAATGTGTAAAAGTGTAGATTCGTAGTGCAAATGGAAGTTTGCTTTGCTGAAACTATAACTTAAAAGTATGGTTTCATTATAGACTTTTACAGTTGTCATTTGTGAATGTACTCTAAAAATAGATCAAGGGATAAGATTCCATTGTTCATTGAAAACTGGAATATATGAGTATAAACAAACTGATAACCCTCTTTTATTGAAATATGAATGAACGAATTGTGAAAACCCATCAGACCGATTCTGGATATTCAGACCTAAAGAAAGAAATGGCTAAATGGGTTGTCGCCACATCATGCTTCGACCATTTTGCTTGCCCTTTGCCAACGCTTTGTTTTTGTCATTGCTACCAATGGTTCTGCCAGACCTAATAAGTTTTTAGCAACCCACAAGCACAACAACATTAATGATCTATAGGTTTTCATTTAGCATCCCAACATTGCTGAGAGTTTCTTTTTTCAATGAACAATTCAAACCATAGCAGAATGAATCGGCTAACAAACAGAAGATAATTTCGAGAGTTTACAATGTGCAAGCAGTACACTCCTTGGCAATCACCAAGTCCTCCTAGGAGTGCATAGGTACTCAGTGCAAGCCTCAACGCACCAAACCTTAGCCTTCCTTGTCTGTGGTTAGGTACTAAGCGCCAGACTACCGCCTTGCCACTTGCCAGACTCTAGTGCCAAGGGTAATATTGTAGGCAAAGGATAGAAACCGGCTACTTAATACTTAATAGTGACCAGGTATAAAGAAAAGGCTAGGTCCAGACAACGAGCAGAACACACACCTGACTTGATCTGAAAGCTATCGACCTGCAGACCACTAACAATATCCATGGACTTTTTAACCTTATTGATATTGATGTTTCAACATTTAATCCTACCATCCAAATGAAGGATCTATGGCTTCACTGCATTTCTTTGCAGTTAGCATTTGGTATTATCTAATTATATCAAACCACAGGCATCATCACGAGCAATACTCAATATTTTTGCTACTTTGATTAGCTCAGGAGCCAAATACTATAGTACCATGCTTATGTGATTATTACTGGGGAGCGAAAGTCAAAAGCAAGAGAATGGAAGTACTGGACACCAAAAATGGACCCAACAATTTTACAGGGTAAACTCCTTGAACATATGATCGGCCAATTCGACTTCAGTTCTTCCATCTTAGTAAAAACAAGTTCCTGCAAGTTGCAAGGTCGAGTAGGACATAACCCCTATTTGACCCCTCAAAGAAGAATATATAACAGGGAAATAAAACATTGACAACCGTTTTTCAGTTTTTATTTCTCTGAATCAACTGTCATGTATGGGTGAATCTGGCAATATGGTTAAACTTTTCCAAATTCCCAGAACAGGACGTGGGTAGAGTACATAAACAAATTTGGGAAATGGGAACACAAATTGGTGAATTGGGCAAAAGGCCAAGATTGCAAATTTCACCATCAAGGCAGCAATTCATTTCATTTCAAGACAAATGAAAAGGGTCGATTCACCGTGCTTCACGTGATCAGATATCAAATCCATCCCCAACCTATGTCCTTCTAATACTGGGAATACAAATTACAGTTCCTTCTACCAGTTCAAAGTAAAACTTCGAATTCGTTAGAACGGCAGCAAGCAACTACGCTCTCCATCGACGAACCGCGCCCCGCCCCTCTCAAATGCAACGCAACCTCCAGCTCTACCGAACGGCTCCAATTCCTCCACTAGGTCAATCATGAGCGCCAACGCAAGGCAAGATCCAGAACAGGGGAAGCGGGGCAGCCGACTCTTAACTCGAGATCCACTCTAGGAACCGCACGCACGAAATCGACATCAAGGACCGAGCTACGAGCACGCAAGGCTGTCGGATAAGGAAGGATACCTTCGAGGACGTGGTCCTCGGGGCCGATGGCGGCGTCCCCGCAGACGTCGCAGACGACGTGGCCGCGGATCTCCCCCGTCCACGCCTCGGCCGCCGGGGCCGCTACCAGCAGCAAGGCGAGCACGGCGAGGACGAAGAGAGCCCGCCGGAGAGGACCGGCCGCCTCCGCCTCCGCCGCCGCCATGGATTGGGCAGCTCGGTAGTTTGAGCGTCTCCTCCGATGGTGGGAGATGGTCGGGGTAGGTAGGTTGGTGGCCGCTTGATTCATTGATTGACACTAGCGAGCTAGAGTAGGGAACCAGCAGAAGAAATGAGATGATTTTACGGTTCCACCCCTTCCTGCAAAATGAGGCCTTGGGCCCAAAATTTTCACAAGAAACACAATTTCCCTAGGAGATGTTCTTTTGTCTTCCCTCAACTACGACCCCAGTCTCATTTTGTGCACTCAACCACAAAACCAAATACTCCCTCCATCTCAAATTAATCATCATATAATATTTATATACCAAGACCAAGGATAATTTAAACTGCATGGATCAAGACGTCATGCACAATATTATGCACACATTCTCCCACAATGCATGCATCTATTAAAACATAATGCACAATTGCACTCTTGACATGCAAAAATTCTCCTGTGCTGCATTAATTGTACTCTGATAAAATCCGTGTCCATGCGGTTATATGATGATCAAGTTGAGAAATTTTGGTTTTTGTTATATGATAAACAATTTGAGAAGGAGGGAGTAACTCTTAACTATAAAAAGGTTCGTTTTATTTTTGGAGTAATTGTGTTTCTACTCTTGCTTTACGATTCAATTGTGATTTTACTCCTACTTTTTAGGGTTTGTGATTTTGCCCCTGCTTTTTAAAAACGAAGCAGCCACGTGCCCCTACTCTGTTAACTAATGGTAACGGTGTTAAATTTGTGGTGAATGGACAAATATACCCCTGGACATGTTTTGCCATTCAATGATAATTTCTAGAGCAAAACGAACACTAATGTCTGATGATTAGAAAAAAGGAGGTAAAAAGTGACAGATATTTGCATTTTTGCTCGTGATAGAGATTTAGACTTGATAACCGAACAGTTGCATGGTATTTATGCCATCCCAACTAACTAAATGCACAATAATACTCCCGTCTCCTCCGGCGTCGGCAGCGCCATGGAAGGCGATGCGGTGCTCGACTGCGACGTCTTTTCGTACACCGACGCTGACGACGCCAACGCGCACTTCTCCTCCTCCGTCTTCGCCAGCTCAGCCTCTGACTCGGCCATGTACTCATACTCCGACGAGGAGCAGCTGCTCACCACTGGCGACGGCAGCCCGAGCGAGTCCCTCTCGTCGACGGCAAAGTCGTCTTCCTCACCGTCATCCTCGTCGCGGCGCCTCCAGAGGCCGTCCCTTCGCATGCAGCCGCGGGGCCGCCGTGCCTCCCTGCGCGAGCGCCCGCCGCGCCTCCCTGCCCGCGCCCGACTCCGCCGTGTGCTGGCCCGCGCCACCGCTCCTCCCTGCCGCGTGCTGGCCGCGCGTCGCCGCCGCCGCTTGTCGCGTGCGCCGCCGCCGCCACTTGCAACCGGGACAGTAAAAGGGATTGGGGATTTTGCTCATTGAACCAAGGGTAGAATGGTCATTCACAAATGATAATAATATTATCTTTCTTCATTTAATTAGGAAATTATGGGCCCACCAAACTTCTGTCAAAATCAGAGGTAGACGGCTGCTTCATTTTTAAAAAGCAGGGGCAAAATCATAAACCCTAAAAAGTAGGGGTAAAATCACAATTGAATTGTAAAGCAAGGGTAGAAACATAATTGCCCCTTTACTTTTCCAAACAGTTTGGACGTTGGTTTTATCCTACGTGACAAGTTGACCTAAAGTTGATTAGCAAATAAATAAATATAATAGTGGACCCAGATGTCAGTAAGTGACCGCTATATTTTTCTTCTGCCCTCCCTTCTCTCTCATCTCTTCCCCATCTCTCTACACTTCTCCCCTCTCTCTTGGCGACCTTCAAGGGCGATGCTCGATGGAAGAAGAGCCAGAGGCAGCGGCAACCTCGCCACCAGTGGAAGCGGAGGTACTGGGAGAGATTAACTGAACTGGGAGGACTTGGAGGGTCGCGATGAAAAAGCTCGAGGGCTCGCTATCAAAGAACTCAGTATCGGTCGCAGTGAAGAAGGTACATGCACCTTTTGCAACCCAACCCTAGTGCCATTGGGCTCCACTATTCCCCTAAACACCGTGCCGCCAATACTGACCACTGCAGCTAGGTGTAGGAGAGCTCGAGCTCAATCTCCTCTCTCCTATCAGACAATCAAGCCTGGGAGGGGATGAAGGGAGGGGCACATGCAATGCTCATGGTGGTCGGCGAGGTCATCAAGCGGGAGAGTTTTGAGCTCTTCTGCGTGCTCGAGCTTGTGCTAGCCACTAAGTTGAGGAAGCAAGAGGGAGGAGGTGGCCTAGCAAGGAGGTGGAGGAGGAAGGAGCGAGAAAGAGAGATTGGCACCGTCCTCGCTTCCCCCATGAGTGGTCTGGTCCGATGGATCAAGCATGTGGCAACAGTGCACATCGAGCAAGCGTAGAGGCCCACTCGGGAAATGTTGAAGGGACTCCGTCACCATGTCACATAAAAAAAACCTAGTGTAAGCTGTTGACGGTCGTTATAGACCAATAAAGGAGAATTAGCTATGCTTATAATGCATATTTGTTTTAGAATAATATAGTTCCACTTGTGCTTGGAGAATAATTTGTTGCAGGAATTGAGCAAATAAAATAAAGAGAAATGAGGAAAAGTCACTCCTAAGCAAGCATATGGATAAGATAGGCCCACAAGACAGGTGTAACCGTCCTGGAAACTGCATTAATTGCCACAACCGTTATAAGGACCAACCTATCAGTGACCCTGCCGAAGCTGGAGGCCTGTTGGGCCAGCCTAGGTTCGGCCGAACCCTAGCGGCGCCCAATCAGCCTGGACCTCCACATGTACACTCCGGATGCACTCTCAATGATGGTTGCGGGGTAGAATGGTCATTTCGCCTTTTCTACAACCGTCATACCGACCCTATAAAAGGAGGAGCTCATTTCACTTCACAACACACTCAAGCAAGCTCAAATATCTCTTCTACACTTTAGTTTAGTATTCTAGTGCTAAGTGAAGTAGAATAGAATAGCTCTCGGAGTCCTCGGAATCTTCGGAGGAATTTCGGTATGACAGTAGTTTTCCTTCTTTCTTTTGTAAGACTTTCGGAATTAATGAAATACTATTCTCTATATGCTCTCGGTACTTTAGTATATCTAAGTATTAACTTTGTTTTATATCTGTATCGGTACAGTCGTATAGTTAGCCTACCAGTGCAGTGGTGTGGGTTTAATGTCCGATTACTCGGTTACTCTATGTCATCTCGAGGGATGTAGAGTAGTATTTAATAATGTGGACATGGTGTCTAGATTATTAAGTAGCATTATCTGGGCATATATGCTACGGGTCAGTCGAGGTGGGCCGCTGATAGTGACAGCTCAGTACGGGTATTCCTCTATGATAGTATATATTCCTAAGAAACTTTCCTAGGGAGGGTACTCCTCCATATTTAGCCCCCGGTTGGACGGCCATGACAGGTTTTCGTAAGAAACTCGGTAACCCGGAGTGGTCTCTCGAAGCACCAGGAGGGCATTGTTACGGGGTATTGGTTATATGGTTGTATACTACCAGATGTGGACTAAAGTTGAGCGTATATTAGAATTATATAAATTGATTGCTTTTCTATTTCTTCTTTCACTTAGTTTAGGAATGATTAAATGAGATATATGAGTGCTTAGCTTTGTGTCACCCTACCGGTATAACTATTTTAACCCATGCTTAGACTTTGATTATACAAGTGGCATGTATATATTATTAGCACAGTTCTCTCTTACAATCTTCCTTGGGATTAAATAAATACGATATCTTGGAATACTCTCGAGTGAAATGGTATAATTAATGGTATATCCGTGTGCTTGCGGATTTCTTTTGTAACCATATATATACCAGGACCATTTCTAGCGCCATTGCTGGAAATTTATATTTATACTAATGTCGTTAAGAAATATCAATATAAGCGCCATGTAAATGCGATATAAGACCAATCATCATTAAAACTATCCAGCGAGGTAAATTGATTCGGTTTAACAATTGAGGGGGTCTTTATACCTGGTTTTATGGTTGAAGTACGTGAATCAAACTATGCTTATGGTTAATGAAGGCAGAGTGGACTGTTTCCATTTCCCTACATGTTCATGTGCATCTAGGACACGAGGAAAGAACTTTCTGATCAGTAACATATTGTTTTAAGCAAATGGTCCATTTTGTATCCCTTAAGGTAAAAAATCCACCCATAAACTTTAATTGGATGCTATGTATATTCCTAAACTTTCTATAATGTTTATTTTTCATCTTTTGACTAAATTTGAAGTAGTATTAATGACAAGGTGCTGATGTGGCAATGTTATTTAGTCCCGAGTACATATATTATTTCAACAAATATTAGTACATGTCCCCATAAAAAATAATCAAAAACTTATCACCTCTCTTATGGATCATTAAAAACAAATTTTTTTTTGAAAGGAACATAAAATATAATTTGACTACTTAAAAATAGTGCTTGAATCTGAATAAAATCAAAATTTAAGAGAGAATTAAACATTATTTTGGTTGGATCAAATTTATGTAAATTATTTTTTTCCAATTTGTAACAAGTATTTCTTTATGAATTTTCTAATTATGTTACTAATTTTTAAAATTCAAGTACATAAACCATGGATGCAATTTAATTTGTATTTTCCAAATTTATATTTTACTTCAAAAGAATCTATAAAAAACTTTCAGTTGCATATTAGCATTATTTAACCTAAATCAATTGGAGCCATTGTAAAACGGAGGATGTTCCAAGAAAAAAAAATGTATTCATACAAATTATAATACTATTTTCCGTGCACCAAATATTGTTTTTATTGCTTACAAAATGTATTAGATGTTTTACATACCATATGGGATAAATGATATTTTTTAAGTCATTTACATATTTAAATTCAAAAGAATTTTTAGCCTTAAAATACATGCTATGTCATGTTGATAAAAGCAATTAAAAATTTTATTGAAGTCTCTCTGAACAATTGTCTTTGAATTTTTTTGTTGAACATAATTGAATTTGAATTGATTATTATAAACAGATATAAAGTAAATCACAATATATGTTATTACAAATCAAGGTTTTCTTGGTAGTAATTCACTGTATGTGTTGTTCGATGGGGTTTAATTAAGTAGGTACTCCGGCCTCTGGACAATATTATATGACGTTGGGAGTATTAAATGTTGCAAGAATTATATAACTTGCTCAAAGATTTTGAGACCAAACTAACTGACCTAACAAAAACTTAGAATTGATAAACTACTTCATACAACTCGCAAAAAAGTGACAAAAAAGCATTAAGGGAGACCAAGAGCTTACGCCCATAGATTACTCAGTTACTGCCAAGTCAACAAAGTAGTGGCCGAGATAGAATTGGTCTAGCTATTCCATTCTCATCACGAAATACCATATTACAGAGCAATTGTGCGCATATAAAATAGAGTACATGCTCTAGATAAAAAGGAAGAATGTTCGATAAGGATGAGAAAACATAAAGTATGGATGGACCGAACAAGCGAGATTGTGTGTCTTTGAAAACATAGGTTGTGTTTAGATCGAGGGGTGAAAGGTTTTGGCGTGTCACATCGGATATACGGACACACATTTGAAGTATTAAACGTAGACTAATAATAAAACAAATTACATATTCCGTATGTAAACTGCGAGACGAATTTATTAAGCCCAATTAATCTGTCATTAGCAAATATTTACTATAGCACCACATTGTCAAATCATGGAGCAGTTAGGCTTAAAAGATTCATCTCGCAATTTACACACAATCTGTGTAATTAGTTATTTTTTTATTTATATTTAATAATTCATACATGTATTCAAACATTTAATGTGACATAGTAAAAAATTTTGCCGGATCTAAAAAAATAGTCCCATACAAACACCTCCACAAGCTAATTGACATATTAAAACTAACGTGCATGTAAAGCATGCTAGCTCTTGGAAACAAATTTAGCAGTTCAAGGCGGGAAGAGTGGTGGCCACATCAACCCCTTTGACATCACTGCCAATGGTTATTCATATATACCGTTGTAACACCAGCATATACTCCTATATTGACTATATTTATATCTATAACAACAAGCTAGGTTGACTGCGCCATTGGAAACTATACATGGCCATGTGCTCTGCACCTCTCTTGACCTAGCTAGTTAGAGAAAGCAATGTCTTCCTTGAATTAATACTTGACCGACAAGATAAGAATTTGAAATTTGTAGTTTGTTCAACACATCCATATATGATACGCCTCGGTGGAGGGGCAGGCAGGCATGGCGTGTGCAAACCACGCGAAAACGCGAGATACGCTGAACCTGTTGCATGTGCATATGCGCGACGCGCGTCCGTTCCACTTGGCCGGATTTGCACATACGTAATGTGAACGCGAGCCGTTGAATGCGTGATCCCGTTTTCCTTTCTCGGCTGGCGGCACGAGACATATCGCGCCGAATATACCACCAGGGGGTAGAGGAGATAGCTTGGATATTAGAATAGGAATTGTT